GTGCACTGCCAGCTGAAGGGGAGTCAATAAGGTGGTGGGCGGGCAGTGGGGAACGATGGATGATGGTATTTGCAGAGGATGAGTGCGATGAGAAATATGTGTGTCATGGGACGGGGACAAGTTCTGAACCACCAGGAGTAATAGAATTTCCACCAGGGAAACAGAAACTGCAGAAGTTTCCAAGAATGCAACCTGAGGGACCAAGAAAGTAGGAGGATGGAAGCAAAGGAGTGCCATTGAAACCGACCACAGGCACGAACCTGATGAACTTCGGCTGGTAGAAGAATCAGCGGTTGTGGTAACCAGTTAGCGCGTAACAGCGGGCAGAGAAGGCGGTAAATAGCCTCAGTGAACCAGCCAAGCGACAGGGCTGAGGTCAGTGAGAGGTGGATGTATGGCTGGGTTCCCCCGAATGCCGCTATAAGTGGCTTGAGAAAGTCAAAGGCGTTCACTGGGGCATCTGCGAGGTAGACGTGGAGGGAGGGGGAATGAGAGGGCTGAGGGTGACTAGGAAGTGACTTGGCGTGACTGGGAATGACTGGGAGTGACTGGGAGGAGCCGTGATATCGGTTGAATCTGACCTTTGAATGACAAGGCTAGTCGTACGAACCACAAAGGTGAGTAGCACAGATGTCAGAGGCGAAAAAAAAAAAAAAAAAAAAAAAAAAAAAATCGAGCAGCACACATGGCATCGCATGTCTGACACTCAAAACCAAGGATCCAAAATGCATGTACTGCTCAGAACCATACCATCAGTTATGAAGTAAGCCTGCCCGGCAGACTTGCAGCTTCCATCCTCACAACTCCTATCCTTCTCGCCCTTTCCCGTCCCATTTACATCCCCAACCCCACCACTGCCAACCCCTCTGCAAGCACCGCTGCTGGATCTGTCCGGAATAAGGCCAACGAATGCCAGACACTGCGCATGAACCAGGTTATCCACGAACAGCCAATCAGAACGCGCCAGCTGGTCTCCAATTCTGAACCGCAGGAAACCGGTCCGAACCAGACCCATGACGCGACGGAGCAAGGAAGGCTCGCCCGGACCAAAGAGCTTGGCAGGCCTGAGCACACACGTGCGCAGCCGGCCCTTTCCAAGAAGCTTCCTCATGTTGGATTTGAGAACGATTTGTTCTGCGAGGCCCACGGCCCGTCCGTAGCTGTCTGCGTGCTGCTCCATGGGGTAATAGCCGCAGCTCGCCTCGTCTACCCCTCCCCCCCCATCACCCTCCCTTCCTCCTCCCTTGCCTCCTCTCTTTCCTCCCCCCATCCCATCTCTTCTCTCGCTTCCTCTTCTGCCTTCGCTGCTCCCCCCCATGTACCCCATGGCTTGCCCTCCGAAAACCGCTCGGGTGGACCCAGTGTAAATCAGGCTCTTGACGCCTTGGTTTAAGCAGCAATGTACCAGATTAAGTGTACCGTCCACGTTAATCGAGGTAATGAGTGACTCCATAAGGGAGTCTTTGCCCCACGCGCCGAAGGATGCAATGTGGAAGACACAGTCGGCTCCTGAAAGAGCGGAGTTGAGATCGTTAGGGTTTCGAATGTCCCCTGAGATTACCCTGAGGCGGGAACGGCCGGTGGGTTGCTGGGCGGTGGCTTGAGCAAGGAGGTGGAGGGGGAAGGGAGAGGAGGCTAGAGGGTTGTTTTTGGAAAGGATGGAGGTGGGGTCTGGGGAGGATGAGGGAGGAGAGGAGGGAGAGGAAGAGGAGGGGTTGGGTGGTTCGGATGGTGGTGTTTGGGGTGGTTTGAGCGGAGGTGGCTGTGAGGAGCGAGGGAAGTCGAAGCAGCGAACTTCGCGAGCCTCCCTGAAAGATTGACGGGAAGGTGGACGAAATTGAAATGCGCTGGATTCGTCAGGAGCGCACATTCGGAGTGAGATACAGTAATAAGTGTACACTGTAAGTAGAAGCGAAAGCCGATGAGGCTAGTCGGTTGGTTGGGATGAGGGCAGGTAAGCAGGATCGTACCTTCTTAATAGCTCGAGGCACAGCCTGACGCCCGCATAGCTCGCACCTCCCGTCACCACAAACACCTTATCTTCGAAACTTCCGACGTCCGATATAAACACCATTGCGCCAGCTATATGCGCAACTTGAGACTGCTATTTCTACTCACCACCTACGTACCGCCAGTCACTAGGTGTTCGATATCATCAAGGTCACAACGAGGAAGCTGATCATCAAGGTACGAAAAGAGAGCTCGTGCTTGCGTGGTCACGACTCGTGCCTTGGCGGTCATGAATTCGAGGAATACATGCGAGGAGCAGTGTATTGTAGAAGCCAAACCCGAAGACTTCAAGGTTATTTCAGTGTGTAGCTAGATTTGTTTGGTATATGAAATGGCATCTCCTACCGAGTTCGATAACAGAGGGAATCCAATTTTCTTTCTCATCTCCCAGAACCATTCTTCGCGCAGAAATATCCTACCAAACCGTACTGAACAGCACCTCCTGGAACTCCTGAATCTGACCCGATCATCTGCAGTTGTACATGGTTCTCATTTCACAGCAGACCTGTGAGTCTTCCATACCCGCCCTGCATGCTCTCATGCTCACCTGGACAGCCCCGCGCTCCATGCACCCAGAACGCGGAGCGCGTACCGCCATTCTGGAAGCAGCAATGCTGCGAATTGCTTGCTCCCTCTCTGGGTCTCTCCGAAACCCTCGTGTCAAGCCGAAATGTCGGCCTATCCACCAAGATGCTCTTCCTCGTCTTGAAGCAGAGAGGCTTTGTTTAATCTCTCGCCGAGTCGAGAGCAACTGCAGTGGGGACTTACCCATCAGCTTCCTCCCATCATTCAAAGAGGTGTAGCGATCAAGCCTTGCAGGCGCCAATAGCATGGCTCGAGCTTCGTGAGCTGCATACAGCGAAGTTCTGCGAATTTTGTGCGTCTTAAGTGCGATTCCCGTGCGACGTCCGTGCGAATTTTACCCCTCAACATCAACAATCAATCCACGACGGTTATTAGTTCCCAAAATTGTTCAACTATTTTATCGCATGGCGGAGCAGCAAGCGATTGTGGAGGAGCAGTACACGCGGCCTCAGGGACTGTACCACCACCGAGACGTGAACCTGGAGGAACTCCGGCGTCTGATTCTCGACGCGAAGTTAGCTCCGTGCCACGTGGGGAGTGATGAGCTTAGCCACGATCTCGACGAATGTCCCATTTGCTTTCTGGTATGCAGCGATCACTCTCAAACGGATGCCCTGTCAGCCTGATATTAACCTTATCTGTCATTAAATTTCTGCTAAATTGTCTTGGTGCCTTGGTTTGGGTCCGTTGCTCTCGTCAGCGTGTATTTATGTTTATTCATAGTTGCGTTTTCCCTCTCTGTCTTCTTCAAACGTAACGTCCTGACCCGTGCTTTCAGGGCTATCCTAGTCTGAACTGGATGAAGTGTTGCAAGAAGGGGATGTGCACAGGTAGGCAATGTGTGATAATATGTCAAGAAGGCTTGGAATTACTGGCTACCTTCTTACCCTTCCTTCTCCCTTGTTTTCTGTTTTCCAGAATGCTTCCTTGTAGTGAAGGGTCCTGCTACTCACAGCATTGAATGGTGAGTCCTTTTTTGCGTTCCACCCCTCCAACAGCATTGACTGCTTCGTTCTGTCCTAATGTTCATTTTTTATCGTACCTCTCAATCTCTCCCAGTTGTCCCTTCTGTGTGACTACTGGAGCGTCTGTGGAGTACCGGGGCAGGCGCACTGCTGAGGAGATTTTGATGGACATGGAGGTAGGTAGGCTGTGGCTGTGGCTGTGGCTGTGGCTGTGGCTGTGGCTGTGGCTGTGGCTGTGGCTTTGGCTGTGGCTATGGCAATGCCTATGGCTGTTGTGGCTATAAGTATCCAGCTCATTAAGTTCCAGTAAAGAAGTTGCTTGCCCTGGCCATAATCCATTTGGTCCATCTATTGGAGTCCACTGTGTAAAGCTGTTTTTTGTCAATTTTCACCACCCCCTCCTGCCCTTACACCTATCCCCCACTGTGGCCGTTATGCAATTTGTCATCTGCTTACCTCCAACTCTCTTGTCTTTTGCCCACTTACCTGGGTACCTAACAGGAAGATCAGAAGGCGATTGAGGCAGAGATTAAGGCAAAAAGAGGAAAGAAGGATGCATGTGCTGCTGCTCTTCCTGTTACGCCTGCGCGATCCACAGCCGAAGCAGAAGCCGAAATGCATGACCACACGTCCTCCTCTGCTGTAGACCTGTCCAACGAAGAGGAGCAGAGGGCAATTGAAGAGGAGATCAGAAGGATCCAGGAACAGGAGGCGTACGCTGCTAGCCTGGTTGATATGGACGAGCAGAGGATGATAGAAGCAGAGATTCAGCTGCGCCGGGAAGAGGAGGCGTATTATGCGCTTCTAGCTGGCCAGGTAGCAGCACTGGACGACCCTGATAGTGCGGCTCCTGCAGCAGAAGCACCCAATCTCTCAGACAACCCATCTGACAATCCTCCTGGTTCCAGTGCCGCAGATGCTACATTGGATGCTGCTGCTGCTGCCGGTGCTTCGTCTGAAGCAGACGATGCTGAAGATTCTGACGAGGAAGTTATTGATGAGGATCAGGTGGAGGCTCCATCATCGTCCGCGCCTGCAGTGGGGAATGGCGACTCTGTACCATCAGGCTCAAAGGACTCTGCAACATCGGCAGCACCAGCAGCTGCAACTGTGGTTGCGTAGTTGTGGAAGCATTATTGCTACTGTAGTATGCTTTGTTCAGGGTGGATATAGTACCGTGTGGCCATTACTCCTATTAGGTAGCCTTGTTGTTGGGGGGCTTTTTCAATATAGACGACTTCAGGTGACAATAGATAGACAGCAGGTGCTCTCACATCTTTGTAAAAAATAACAGTAATAGATGAAGAAAAAGGTCACTGGTAGAGCCGAGGCAGCTCCACTGATGTATATGGTAGTAATCTACAGTATATCATGTAGGTTCAGAGCCATTCATTCTGTCAAGTCAAGCAAGGCTCGAGTGAAACCTCGCCCATACCGGTATTAGTTTCTCCACCTCCTATCCACATCCCCACCAACCACCCCTCCAACAGGCCTCTGACCTACCTTCCCTACTCCAATTGCCCTCACGCCCCGCCCAGGAGTGACAGCCCTCACGGGAGTGGTGGGCCTGGCAGGGGCCCTATCCACTCCATGCAACCCCACACCCTTCCCAGCCGCCCTCTCACTGCTACTGGACCTTCCACCTCCTCTCTGTGGGGTCGCTGCCCTTCCCATCCTCCCAGCACTACCATACCCGATCAGTGTCCTCCCAAAGACATTGCTAGGCACCTCACTTCCAGCCGCACAGGCCCTCCCTCCAATGCTCCACCTTCGCCTCTCCCTCTCCTGTTCCTCCCGGGCCGCTTTCCTCTGCAGCTCCCGCACTCGCCTCCTCTCCACCCGTTCCCTCTCCACCTCGCTGTACTCCTTACAAGCAGTCTCAACAAGAGCGTCTAGAATCATCTCCTCCAAATCAAACGCCACTGTAGCAGCCTCAGAGTCTCGTATCTCTTCCTGCGACCACCGATCCACGCCTTTCTGCATATCCCTCCTCGCTGCGTCATCAAGCACATCATACACGTCGGGTGACGGTGGAATCGGCCAATCATGAATCTCCACCCAGATTCTCTTCAGAAGATCTTTCCCCACTGGTCGCGGGTGCAGCTTCCGGAGCGAGACTGGCCGAGCGGCAGAGGAAGGACACGTGTCAAGGTCCCATTGCAGCGGGTTGAGGAACGGAGCGAGTGTGCGGCCGATGGCCTCATTGATAGCATCGAACAGCAGCATGCGCTGCCGGTGCTCCTCCGAGCCCTTCGTGCTCCTCGTGTCGCTGCTGCTGCTGCCACCGTTGCTGCCTTGACTGCCGACCTCACTGTCTTGACAGCTGCTGCTGCTGCTAATTTCTCCTGTTATCTCCTTCTCAAGCTGTTCGAACACCTCTCGACGCACGGGGAGCCTGAGGGATGGGATGTCGCGGCGGGGAGGGAGGGATTCACCTGCAAACCCGGACAGCAGCAACACGTGGCGAACGTACTCCAGGTCCTGCTCGATCCCCGCCACGTCAGCGAGCCCCACGTTTGCTGCCACGTCAGCTAGAACAGATTGCGTGCTGGATAGGTCCAGAAGAGCCAGAGATTCCACAGGGCACGGCGAGCGAGGAGGAGGAGAAGGAGAGGGAGGAGAGAGAGAAGAGGAATGGAGAGGCGGAGATAAAGAGGAAAGAGGGAGAGGGAGGGAGGAAAGAGCAGGAGGAGGAAGCATATTTCTAGCTTCAGTTAATGGGGAGAAGGGAGAGAGGATGGTAGGGGAGGGGACAGAGGAGAGAGAGGAGAGAGAGGAGAGGGAGGAGGAAGCGGAGGAGGAACGGGAAGGGGATGAAGACGGATTTGCTGCAGTTTTACTGCTGCCAGTGAACAACAAGTCCTGGAGCACCAACGATGGGTCCAGCTCTCCGCTGCTTCCGCTGCTTGTCGTTGTCACTGCATCCGAGTCATATTCCTCGCCTCGTTTTTTTAAGCTCGTCACCTGCTGCCTGAGGTCCAGCACAGAAACGGGGCTCGCAGCAAGCTTATAACGGAGATGCTTCACCGTGAAGAGACTGTCCGCGTCGTCCGACTCCCACTCGCCATTCCCCGACGACGCCTCGTTCACGGAACCACAGTCGTTGACGGAGCTTGAATCGTCAGACTCCGTTTCCTCCGGCAGCTCGACCGTCATCTGACGAAGCTCCGTCAGTTGCGCCGTCAGCTCCGCCGTTTTCTCCATTCGCCGGGAAACGAGCGGCTCTTGTCTTCCGACCGCCATGAGCGTGATTCGCGGTGAGCCTGACCAATCCGACCGCTCGTCCGAACGCCTCTGCTGCTCTTCCAGGACCCTTCGCTGCTGCTGCTGCTGCCGCCGCTCCTGCCGCTGCCGCTGCTGTTCCTGCACCTGCCGCCGCAAGCGCATCGCTAGGCTCTCCGCCGAATCTGCGCTCTCGGGGGCGCCGCCGGGCTGAGAGTTGCGCCGGGTAGACGGCGCGCTCCGCTCGCCCCAACCAAGGGAAGCGGGGGAGCTGAGAGGCGGTTGGGTTCTGCTTCCCAGGCGGTTGGGGGAGCCGGGGGGGCTGAGCCGCCGAGGGGAACTGGGGGAGCTGAGACGGCGGGGGGACGCGGGAGGGCTGTTTGGCGGAGACAGATATTGCGGACCGTGCGAGAATGGGGAGGCGGAACCTCGGCGTCGCACGGGCGACGACGACGACGCATTCGGCGACGCGGGCATCCGCTCCAGCCCTTTCGCCTCCGACGGGCCGTTCGCGCGCGACTTTGCAAGTGACGAGAGCGTGGGGGTGTAGAGTCGACTGGACGGGGAACAGTTTGTGTGCCGTGGGGGCGCGCACGTTTGTGACGTTGGCGGGGCCATGGCGCTGATTCGTCCGGATGCCACGGCAACTGTTGAGAGTTTGTGTTGGTTTGAAGTGTCGAGTGAAAGGGCGGACGTGAGATGCTGAGGAGAGGAACGTGGACGTGACCTAGTGACGGATTGGCTCGAATGTTGGAAGGCGAGTATCCGTCGTCTCGCTTTGAAGATGGGACGCCAAATGCGATCACTCGAGCTCACTCAGGCTCTTACGAAAGACAAGAATCTACAATAAGAGTGGGATTCAGGACTTGTACGAAGGTCTTTGGAGGCTCTATATACGAATGGGGATCCAAGGGCGCACAGGTGTGGGGACTCTCCTATAGCTGTTCGACCGCGCTTCGGGTGTTCTGGCGGCGGTCCTTACTAGGGCTGACGGCGAGCTGTGAGCTGCAGACGACCGGCTGAAGCAGCCTAACGCACAGCCGTTACGACTTGGCTCAGACGACAAGTGTATGGAGGTGAATGTTGTGTGGATTGAAAATATTTACGGATAAGGTACGTTCAGCAGACTACTGGACGGAAAATGCAGGCGAGCTGAAATTCAATCGACGACGATGACGACGCGAGACTTCTCGTGATAAGGCTGAGTGCTTCGGTGCGTCGAGCGTGTGGCTGAGAAAATATCTAAGGCCCGGAATCTCGGAAAAAGTGCAGTAGTTGTAACCACGCGAAAAGCGCAGCGGGCCTCACGGGAAAAAACGGTCAATTCCAATGAATTGGCGACTCGCCTGAATCACGTGTCCAAGGAACCTCACGGGTATTACGGCCGGTTCTGGTGTATACGGAACCCTTCGTTTCGAATGCGGCTGCAAGGAATCTCACGGGTACTACTACGGCTGACGGACTTTGATGAACTCGCAACGCGTGCTTTGCTCAACCGTAGCATAATCAGCTGCGAGGAAATCTGTTGGCACTACCGTCACCAAGGTGGAATCGAGAAACGGTCAAATCGCCTTCCATAGCGAGAATAAACAGCCGAGGGGAAGGGAAAAAAGCGAACTAACGAGACGGGCTATCGAGCAAGGAGAAGTTGACGGCGGTGTTTGCGGTAAGTTCGTAAGCTCGTTTGCAAACGGATGGTTCACGGAAATTGTCGATACTGACAAGGCATGCGTTGAATCTGAGTTGAATTCGATAAACGTTGAGACAAAAAGGGCAGTAACAGTAGCAAAGCTCCAGCCGAATTACGATGATGCGTTATCTATGGACGGCGAAACGGGATATAAAGTGGAGGGTGCGGCGGGAGAGCAGAGCAGCGCCAACCGCAACTGACGCCCAGCTTTGGAACGAGGATGGAGGTTGCTTTCTTTCAGTGAGCGAGGCGAAACGGCAAGCATGGAGAGAAGAAGCATTCAAGCTGGATCGCTTCCATGAGAAATCAGAGAAAGGCACACCCTTGACCTTTCACACCCCTTCCTCCCCTCCCTCCCCTCCTCCCTCCTGCTCCTCTCCCCTCCCTCGCTCCTCTCCCCTCCCTCCCTCCTCTCCTTTGCCGAGTGCACTGACATCAATGTCGGCCGAGGCGCGCAAAAAATGCCTCCCTTGGCAGGCTTGACGAACCGCCTAGACCACACGACGGGACCGCGACGCTGGAATGCTACTGCCGCGGTCTGGATGTGGTGGGCAGGAGTGAACAACATTCATCCAACAGCTCGAATTCGGGGAAGAGGCACGGCAACCTCCGCCTTCAGAGGAGGTTGGCCTTAGGGGCGTACGAGAGGTTTGGCTCGGTTCGGGAGAGGGGATCAGGTATGGGGAAAAAATAGAACGGGTTACGAGGGGGTGTTGGGGGTTTGGAGGGGAAAGTTGATGGGGTCAGTCAGAAGAGTGCAGCAATCATGAAAGGAAAGGAGGCGTGATGCGGGCCAACGAATGATTGTTGTGGTAATATTCTCGCAGTTCCGTCATTGCTCGTTTACGGTGAACACTAAGCGGAAATAGACCTACGCATTACATTTAAGTAACATTACATACTCACATACCATACATATCGACTATCATCAGTTGCATATACGATTTTTGCTAATTTGTGTTCTAAAATCATGTGGCATCATATAATATACATATATCCGACATGTATAGCATGTTAGATAAGAATTAGTGACATAGAACGTGGCATAAGTGTTGCGTTCTCTGTCTAATACCAGGATTATTCTGTTTCCTTTGTACAGAATCACTCTGTACTTCCACCACACCGTTTCATGCTTCCTCGCATACGAGCGACGAGTTACCAGAGTCACAGATGCAGACCAGTGGCTCGCGGAGGTCGGTGGGAATGTCGCGAAGGCGCGAGAAATTCGTCGAGCACAGATGGACGGCTGGATGATGGAGTGATGGTGTGACAATCCCACTGCTGCTCACTCAATCTTGCTGGAAGCCTGCTTCCTCGCTCGCCCCATCATCATGTGTCTACTTCTCAGCAGGTGTGATAGCTTCTGTAGTCGGTGGATTCTACTTCACGTTTGCGTACCAGAGAAGCTATTCAGGGTCCCAGTAGTGTCATGACAAAGATGTTTTAGCGGGAATTCCAGTGTACGATAAGATAGCTTCACACGATGCATCCGAAGGTTGCACGCTGTGCCGTACATCTGTGTAGGTTGTAGGTAATGCGTTTCATAACAGTTTTGTTTTCACAACTAAACAACAACCTAAGTTTTTCTTGATACGATGGTAGACCGTCGACAACGAGAAGTGGGCTGTGTCGAACGATTTCTCGTCGCAGAAGGGTCGCCTTCGGACGTCGTTATTCCAGATCCCTACACTGAGTTGTCATGCGAATCGGCGACTGTGCGCGAGTCCTGCGAATCGGCGACTCTCTGCGAGCCGTCTAGAGCATGCGACAGCACGATAGCACGCAGCGCCTGCCGCCATCACGAAGCCGCAACTCTTCTTACCCGCGAAAATCTTGCCACGTCAGCATCTACCCGGGAGCCTACTGTGTCGTCAACAGTCTCGCGAACGCCTTCGAATCTTGAGACATCGTCGTGTTTAGAGGAACGCGCGAGGGAGAAATTATCCCAGATCGAGGCTATGGATTCACAGGCTGTCACGGTGAATGAACGGTCCAGATCACGCCTGCATGCACACCGATGCATCTGGGTGGCGGCCGCCGTCGGATTACTCATGCTGGTTGGAGGTCTCGTGGCCGTGTTGGGCCCTTTAATCTTCTCCCACGTCATCATACCTATGCTAGAATGGGAGCAGAAGAATCTAAGCCCCCCAGTCCTTGGCGTCGCAGCTGTTGCCAGTATGGGTCTCTTCCCTGTAGTTCTCCTCCCCACAGGACCGTCCATGTGGCTTATTGGGATTGTCTTCGGTTACGCTTGGGGTTTCATCCTCATTATGGTTGGCTCCTTTATCGGTCAATCTCTGCCGTATTTCATTGGCCACTGGCTGTTCCACGCGCGTGTGCAAGCGTGGTTGGCTGAGCACCCACGAAACGCTGCTGTACTGCGATTGGCTGAGGCCGGCGGCTGGTGGCATCAGTACCGGGTCACGTTGCTGCTACGCTTCTCCCCGTTTCCGTTCCTCCTCTTCAATTGTGAGTAGACCCGCGATTGCTGTTCAGATTTCTACCCCTCCTCGCGTGGGTGCATCGGGGTTGTTAGGGTGTTACTTCCGTTGGAGACAAGCTCTGGTTTCTGTGGGTTTTGTGTTGAGTCCTTCCCAATGCCTCCACCTCTCTGTTCCTCTGATCCTTTTCAGACGCTGTAACGGCCACTCGCATCCAGTACGCGCCCTACATCAGCGCATCGATGACTGCCATGATTCCCGAAGCCTTCTTCACCATCTACTGGTGCGTCTGCCACACACATGCAATGACGCGGTTCTTGTCACATTCCATTGTTGTCGAGCCGCGTTTAATAATCTATCCTGCTTGTGTTACTAGCTCTTTAATGTGGCAAGGCTGGTGGATTACTTTGGAAAGCTGGCCCTTAGCTGCCTTCCCTGTCATCTCCATATAACCATTGGACCTACAGTGGAGTGGTGTAGCTGGAGTTGTGGGGCTGGAATAATGATAAGCTACTTCTCTCATTCAAACCGTTTTTTAAATCCATTTTCGTTTCTTCCTCTGCTGCAGTGGTCGGCTGATCAGTGATCTGGCGGAGGCCCACAAGAGGCACATCACAGCGGTGGAGCTGGTGTACGAGCTGATGGGGTTGGCAGCAGCAGGGGTGGTGCTGCTGCTGCTCATGGTGCATGGCAAGAGGGCTCTGCAGCAGTTAGAGGAGGAGGAGAGAGCCAAGCAAAAGGGGCTTGAGATGGAACAGGTGGTTTGTATAGGTGCCAATGGGGCGGGTGTGGTGGAAAATGGTGCTGCTGTTGCGTTTGATGGGGTGGAATTGCCTGCTGCTGAGGTGGCACTTATTGCTGATGACTCTCAGAGTGCATCTGGGAGGGATGGAGTAGCTCAGCAGGGGAGGCAGGCTTATTGTCAAAGCATTCAGGTGGATTTCCCTCTGGATGTCAAGAGCACACAAGGGGCTTTACGGGCCAACATGAATCCCTCTTTCGTGATACACGAATCTGAGGCACATGAAGAGGGTGGTGCAGAGGGAGATGGGCTCCTTGGCGCAGAGTCTTTTTATAGAAGAGGGTTTTATCGCTTGGGGAGGTTAAGTGCAGGCGAGTCAAGTCAGAGGGAGCTGGCAAGCCAGGATGTTGAAGTGGGACTGCAGAGCACCAAGCTGCAAAGCAGAAGCCCCCAAGGGTAAGGTCGCGATGGTTAAAAGGAGACAAGGAGACGGTTTGGTAGGTTCTGTGTTTGTCTAATCCGCTAAAAGTGTATGTGCCAATGGGGCCATGTTGAAAAGTTTGATTTCATAGAAAGTAAGATGCCAAAATTCCTGAGAGAGGTACTGTACATCATTTTGATATTTGCCCTAACGTTAGGTACACTGCTAGTAGCAAAGCGATTGAACAACTCATTCCGTCCCGGTGATGAGGAACCACTTTCATGCACCCTCGCGAGCGACCCTAGCTCAATAAGGGGGATGTCGCACCAAGCCCAAACCCATCATCTGCCACCGTCACCCCCCCACCTTCACCACTGCCCTGCCCTCCCACCCCCACTTTCGTCCTGTCAACCAACACCTTGGGATTGTCGAACTGCAATCTAAAGGGTGGTGGTTGGTGCGTGGTTCGGTATGGTTTGTCGTGGTTGGGAGGGAGTGGTGGGTTGATTTGTGCAAACTTTTCTGCAATGCCAGTTTATGAGAGCTGGCTGGAACTAATTTTGCATTAGTAGGCCGGCAGCTGCGTTCCGAATAGCTGCTGCTTCTGCGTTGCCTTGCCTGGCGTTGCGTTGGGAGAAGATGAACGTGGACTAAGGGTCGCAATTACTCCAATAGCTCTCTTAGTGTGTATCAGAGGCTGTACAATTCCGCAGCAGGAGGGTTGGCTTGAGATAGATACGTGAGTGGTTGCTCCTTTGCCGAGTCCGCATTTTCGCACATTTAAAGCGCTTGTCATTATCGAGCGTCGCCCACTCTTTGATATAGTAAACGCAGGAACAGCAGGGTAATCAGGCAGTTTTTTCGCGTGCATCATGAAAGTTACTGTTATTCGCATTGGGTTACGAAGGTTGCTTTCCACGGTTTTTTCATTGCAGCAGTTGTGCTAGATCTTTTACATCTAATGACCTGTGATAATCAGCGAAATCGGGAGACATCGCTAGACATTGTCTACACCGGTCGTCGCATTGAGTATCTCTCTTGGCGGACTGCAGGTAACATTGTCTACTCCGGTCGCCTCTACTTGTCTATTTTTGTCAGCGGGCTGCAGATAACATCGTCCGACCATGGCGGCAATGATGCAGCGATCGCTCTCAGCTGCCACGTCGGAAGACGACGAGTTCGACGAGGAGGTGAGCATGGAAAGAAGCGTTTAAAGCATTTTTTTATACTAGTTGGTATTACTGTACGAGATTGCTGGCGTGGGGAGAGGAGCATATGCATATGAATTACCCGTGTTGCCTGTTCCGGTAATTTCTATGTATTGGAGAGGATCACATGTGAATGAATCTCACCAGACCATTCTGAACCGGATTGCATCTGCAAAAACTACTCCACTCTCTCTCTCTCTCTTGTCTGTGTGTCTGTGTGTGTGCGCGCGCACGTGTGTTTTACTTGTCCAATCACGGTCGACAGCTCGATGGGTTTGATGACTTCACGTTGGCTTCACCATGGGAGAGGTGCGTGCCACTCGTGCAGTCCTCGCACGTTCGCTGCTAGCACAATTCAACTCGCAGCGCATCACCGTTCATCACCCCACAGCACCGTGTGCTTGCGCGCCTGCTTGCACGTAATTGCACCTTGTCCTCTGCCATATTCTGTACGTTATACGCGCATCCTCTGTACGCTTTACGCTCTACGCTATTCCTCATATCCGATTCTCTCCACGCGTGTCCAGGTTCATCGCTGCAGTGGAAGGCAGTCTGCGCCAGTGGCTGTCGGAAGGCTCTGCGGCCCTCGTGCAGGTACTTGCCCTCTGATACCTCCACACAGTTTTACGTCTACACTTACAATCTAATACCTGTACACAAACTAATACTTCCTACACTTACCATCTGATGCCTTCGTCTAAGCCTACGCCCGTTGTGCGTCGGTGAAACTAATTACGTGAAGCGGCAACATCTAGCGGCTAACTGTTCTGCCAGTTATGGCACATTATGACTACCTTGTGCCTCACCCTCCTCTTTCCACCCCTTCTTCCCCAATTTCCCCCCCCGAGCAGTCAGGAGCAGCGCGGCCAGTGGAGGGAATGCCGCTGATGGTGTATGTGGAGGCGGAGCACGCGCAGGGCCACAAGAACTACCGCCTCACCTACTACTTCCAGGTCAGTGCCTCCCACAGGAAGCGCTTGGTTTCTTGTTTCTTACTCTACACTCACTGTGCTCAGGGGCATAACATTTTCCACCTCGTAATATCCAGGGGCATCGCTAGGCATGCATGTGCGTCGCTGAGCATGCCATTGAGCATGCCATTGAGCATGCCATTGAGCATGCCATTGCGCATGCCGTTGAGCATGCGTATCCCCGCTGTCGCCTTTATCTAACCCCCGTGACCACCAGGTGTCACTGGCGAGCAGCAACAGCGTGCATCCGACGGTGGCGGCGGAGACAGCAGCAGCACTGAAGCGCATTGCGTCCATCTCCGCCACGGGCCGCCCCAGCCCCTGGGAGAAGGCCGTGCACCCGCTGCAGCTCTGGTTCGGCATCCAAGAGTTTGTGGTGAGCTGCCGTTGCTATGCTCTAGGCTCGGAATGTTTGAGCTCTGGTTGGCATCCACAAGGTTATGGAGTGAGCGACCTGCTGCTGGTGATGCTCTGAGAGTCTTAGTACAAGCTATGGTTAGCTGTTGCTGAGGATCTTGTACTCGTGCAGCCTGGTTCGTCCTCTCACCTTGCTCACTTCTTCCCCCCTTTACTCAATTTCTCTCGTTCACAGGTGCTGGCACCCGTGACAGCATCTGGGGTTGTGCTGGACTCGCCTGAAGCCTCCATGCTCCTTAGCACGCTCGCCATCGCCTCGTGTAACACCGAGTGGTAACCACCCGTGACACTTCCTATGGTGCTAAAGGGGTTTGAGTAGTCAAGCACGTCTTCTGGCGTAGCGCATGAGCAGCATACGGACTCAAAATTCTTGAGGCTGTTGCATTGCATTCTCGTCATCCATTGCCTGCACCTCTGCTGAACCCCTGCACGCCCTTCTCTTCTCCTCCCGCTCCCCTTCACGTCATCTTCCGCCTCTTTCCTCCTCCCCTCCCCCCTCTCTCCTTTCCCGCCCCCAGCTCCCTGCCATCCTTCGTCCCGGTACACGACCCCTCCCGCAAGGCCTTCATTGGCTTCCAGCACGGTCCCCGAGCCACCCGCACTGGTGCGGGCTCAGGCTCGGGCCGAGGCATGCGGTCAGGTCCGGGCGCGGGAGGAGGCACGGTGGGAGGGGTGGGCGCGGGGGGCGTGGGCGACTACCTGTTTCACTACGAGGCGGACCGCATCACCAGCAACGTGCCTCAGAACCTGCTGTCTCTCGACGGCCTTTACTACCTCTTTGCGTTCAAGCTGGTAAAACAGGGTTGGGCGCGGGTGGGGGGGTGGGGGGCCGTGGGCGACTACCTGTTTCACTACGAGGCGGACCGTATCACCAGCAACGTGCCGCAGAACCTGCTGTCTCTTGATGGCCTTTATTACCTCTTCGCATTTAAGCTGGTAAGGCATGGGTGGGCGCGGGGGGCATGGGGGACTATTTATTGCGGATCGCATCACCAGCAACGTTCCACAGAACCTGCTGTCTGTACTACCTACCTCTTTGCGTTCAAGCTGGTGAGACATGCGTGCTCCGAAGCTGTTGATGCTGATGTCTTTCTCTCTTGCTGTCTTTCTGTCTTTTCCCTGACGCAAGTGCTACTGCCCGCCTGGGCCACTAAGACTCCCCAATGATCAAACCATTCCCTCTTTCCCCCACACGCGAACACTGATGCCCCTGACGTGACCGTGGCCATGCGCATCCGCTACCGCCTCCGCTACTGGGGCTCCCCATTCACTCCCTTCCATCCCTCCCTTCTCTCTCTCCCCACCCCTCCCCTCTCCTCCCCCACACTCACGAGCAGATAGCAGAGCTCCCCAGCACCGTAGCGTCGGTGTCCCCTGACGTCACCGTGGCCATGCGCATCCGCTATCGCCTCCTCTACTGGGGCTCCCCATTCATCCGTGTCACTCCCCCTCTTTCCCTCCTCCCTTTCGCCCTTCTTCCCTTCCCTCTCCACCTCCTCCCCTCCGCCTCCTCCCCTCTCCCCATGCCTCCCTCCCCTTCCCCCCACCCCACCCTCCCTTGCACACATGCAGATAGCAGAGCTCCCCAGCACCGTAGCATCAGTGTCCCCTGACGTCACCGTGGCCATGCGCATCCGCTACCGCCTCCGCTACTGGGGCTCCCCGGACGCGCCCCCGCCCTCCAAGACCCGCCCAGCAGAAGCAGGCGCAGGCGCGGGGAGCGAGGAGGGCGCAGGCGCAGGGGTGGAGGAGGAGGACGAGTTCTGGGGGCAGGAGAGGGCGTGGGACGAGGGCATGGCGTGGAGTGTGTGGCACTCGGTGGACGATCCGGTGAAGGGGTTTGAGCTGGTGGCCACGTGGAAGGAGCTCAGGGCGAGTAGTTCGTCAGGCATGGCCCAGATGGAGCAGCTCGATGCCACTACCGCGGATGAGTGGCTGCTGCGCGCACTGCTCGCCCCCACCAGGTGAGGGCACTGCTTTTCCCCTCTAGTTGAGGCATCTCCCTTCACTCCCAGCAGGCAAGACGTCTCCCCTTGAACCACCTGTTGCTTCCTTCACCTATCCTCTCTTTCACTCTTTTTCCCACACCTCCCCTCTGCTCCCTGCAGGACTGACTTTGACAGTGACGACCCCCCTCAGGGCTTTGCTGGACGGCTGCATGCACTGCTGGGGGCGTACGTGGTGTCCACCACAGGCCAGTACATGGAAGACTTTATAGCGGGTATGTGGTGTATATGAGTATATCTTGTTATTCATTACTGTCGAGCTGCTGGCTGGTGTACCCGTGGAAAGTCCATTGCTTATGGAGGTGTTCATATCGTGCATCTCCTTCTCTCCTTACTCTTCTCTGCTCCTCACATCTCGTCCCCGTTCTCTTCTCTCTCTTTCCCCTGCCTCGTCTTGTTGCTCCACATCTCTTTCTCCCCCATCACAGCTCAGAACTTTGCGCGGCGCAACAACATGACCATCCCGCCGCCCAGTGTCATGGAGCGAGTGGTCAAGGACCTCTTCCACTCCAGTGAGTGGCACCCTTGAGCTCTTTCTGTAGCGCATACAAACCCTTTGAAGGTTGAAGGCGCCTCAAAACCACGCCCCATGTCATGGAGCGTGAGTTGCACATTTGCGCTCTTCATAAGCATCAAAAGCGCTCCCAGTGTCCATGGGGCGAAGTACATGGGGAAGGTGTCAGAGTAGCAGGAGGCCAGTTTTTTTTTTTTTTTTTCCTTTCCTGCACACACGACTTAACTCTCCACTCCACCCTCCTCCTGGCAACCGCCCACCCTCCCCGCTCTCCTGGCTCCCGTCCGTTCCATCTTCACCCATGCAGAGGAGGCGCTGGCGTCAGTGGCGAAGTACATGGGGAAGGCGTCAGAACAGCAGGAGGCGAGCCTGCTGCCTGACGCTGACCGTGGCACCATCACCACCGCCAGCAGCGTCATCAGCAGCATCAGCGCCACCGACACCAGCGCCACTGGCAGTGGGGTGAAGGGTCCCGGGGGAGAGGGAGCAGCGGGGGCAGGAGCGGAGGGAGGCGGAGCAGAAGGTGCAGGGGGAGAAGGGGTGGAGGAGAATGGGCTGAGTGGCAAGTTCAAGGGGGCGACGCACATTGGCAAGGCTGCGCCGGTGGATTCGCTCTTTTCCCGCCTCGCTCTGCATGTGCTGCGCTTTGGCACCTGCAACATCAGATGTGAGCCACCCCCGCCCGCCTCGTCCATGCCACCTGTGGCCTCGGGTATCTTTCGCTTGCTCTTTGAAAACCCTTCCTTTCCTTTTCCCCTCATGTCCCCCAGCCGTGGCTGGAATTTACTCGCGAGCTGCGGTGAAACTGCCACGGGAGAGGAGGCGGCTTGTGCATATGATGCGGCTGTGATCAAGAGGGATGGCCCAGATGCCATGAATAACGCTACTATGTTTGGCTACCACCCGCCCCTTCGCCGCTCAAGTCGCCAAACATAGTAGCGCTAGTCATGGCATCTGGGCCATCCCTCTTGATTGCAGCCGCGTCATATGCACGAGCTGCATTCCTTTTGTGAGAATTCCATGCCTTGCCCCCTTGTTCCTTCACCTCTGTCCCCCTTCCAGCCGTGGCAGCGCTGTGGCTGGAGTTCACATCACATCACACGTGAGCTGAGGTGTAACTGGGAACAGGACACTTGCCGCGTCCCCTCTCGTTGCTCTCTCATCCCTAACCCTCTGCCCCCTTGCACTCCCTTCTGGCCCTCTTTCAGCTGTGGCGGCGCTGTGGCTGGAGTTCACGCGTGAGCTGAGGTGGAACTGGGAGCAGGCGCTGCCCATCCCTCGAGTCATTGCAGACGGGCCTCCCAACACCGCCACCTGCCTCATCCACCAGAAGCTGCAGCTGGTACGTGGCTTTAAGACGCCACATTCTCCCCACACTGTCTCTCAGAGATGCAGCTGGCAGGGTTGCTGTCGTTTTTGCATCCCTGAATGTTCCTCTAATTTCTTTTTACCACCCATTTCCCCGTTACCACCCCGTAATTCCTTTCCCCGTTCAGCTCCTGAGCCGGTATTGAAATGATCTCTCCCTCTGTTATCCTCTCTCACTTCGCCCCCCATCCCCTTTCCCCCGTGCAGCTGCAGGAGTGCATTAAGCGGCGGCGCAAGCAGCAGGAGCGGGAAATGGAGGAGCGCATGCGTCACGCCGAGCGCATGCACCAAATCGCCGCCGCCAAGCTTGTAGGCGAGCGCGTGGAGGAGCTTGTAAGGGGTACAGCACTCGACGACGGCCCGGCTCGCGCTGACTCGCCGCCAGGGAGGGGCGGCAGGAGGCGAGGCAGCGGGAGGGAGAGGGGAGGGAGGGGGAGTGACAGGAGGGGTGGGAGGGATGAGGAGGAGTGGGAGGGGATGGAGAGGTCTGGGAGTGAAGGAGGCGGCTGGCATGATGGAAGGGCGGGCCGGGGGCGGGGAGGACGCGGGTGGGACAATGGCGACGGGGCGAGCCCGCACCACGACGACAAGACGGCCTCGGGGGACTCGGACACGCACGGGTCGCACGACGTGGCGTTCTATGATGAGGGGGGTGTGGCTGATGGCGACTCGCCTTCCCACCGCAGCGAAGAGGACCTTGATGAGTGAGTGCAGCATGTGGTGCTTGAGGGGAATAGAGGGGGGGGAAGTGGGGGTGAGTGGATGGTTTGCGATGGGGAGGGGAGTGGATGGTGTATCGTGAGCAGGGAGGGGGCTGGGCCCATGCGATGCGTTGGAGAAGTGGGCAGAGAGGGGCCTGCATGAGCCGTGCGCCTCATTCAGCCCTTGAGGCAGCAACACTCAATCCACTCCTCACTTATTCACCACACACCATCCACCACCCACCCACCCACCCACTGCCTGCCTGCCTACACAACCCACAGATATTTCAGCGAGAGCGACGTATCGGACGACGACACCTGGGCGGAGAGGGGCCGCACGAGCCACGGCCTCACGGGGGCGATGGCGAGGGGGCGGCGCCGCGTGCGGAGGCGGGGGGTGGTGGGGCCGGTGAAGGGAGACATGTGGCTGCTGCGCGTGAGGCGGCGCATGCTGGAGCCTCACACACAGGACCCGGTGTTCATGAGTGAAGATATGATCGAGGAGAAGGAGCGAGCCATGGAGGCTCTGGGGAGCACGCCTGCGGTGAGTGTCAGTGAGTGGTTCCCTCCGTTGTGTCATCTCAGTTGGAGTCAGCTTGAGGCGCCACAGATGTAGGCTCTTGGTAGTTTCTGGGGGGGTGAGTCATTTGTCAGGGGGTGGTGGGGCTGGTGAAGGGAGACATGTGGCTGCTGCGTGTGAGGCGGCGCATGCTGGAGCCACACACCCAGGACCCGACGTTCATGAGTGAAGAATTGATCGAGGAGAAGGAGCGAGCCATGGAGGCTCTTGGTAGCGCGCCTGCGGTAAGAAGGTTGGTTACTTGCAAGCAAGGTTAGTCACTTGGTAGCTCGCTGAGAGGGGGGGGCAGGGTGAGTCTTTATTAGGGGTAGCGGGGCCAGTGAAGGGCAACATGTGGCTGCTGCGTGTGAGTGGATGTGTGGGTGTACTGTGTAGTGCATGTGCTCTAACTGTAACATCTGCGCTTGTCTGTCTGCTCGTGTGTCATGTGCGCAGGGGCGTGAAACTCGAGCTCGCATGCAGAGTGACGTTGTTGCTTCAGGTATAGTCCGTTCTTCGTCTAGTCAACTTTTTTTTTTTCGTCTTTGTTTCTGCTTTCTCTCTTTTCCTTTATTTCTTCTGTTTCTGATTTTCCGTCATGCTTCTTGCCCTTTCTCTCTTGCGCTGCCCCGGTGCATCTCTGCTCTCTAGCGCGCAATCTGCATTCTCGCCTCCGCGGACGTTGAGCATTCAAAGCAATAGCTTAGCGCCTCCCCACCCCGGCCCCCCACACACATGCTCTTCCTACCCTTTCTCCTCCAGACATGTCGGCGTTCAAAGCTGCAAACCCCGGGGCAGTGCTAGAGGACTTTGTGCGCTGGCACTCGCCCAACGACTGGCTGCCAATCACAAGCGCGGATGAGGGCTCTGATGACGTGGATGATTACGATGATGAGTATGACGATGGTGGTAGGCGGTACGGGAGGGATGATGATGATAGGTACGGCCGGGGCGACCGGTATGAGGATCGGGAGGACAGGTACAGAAGGGGAGGAGGCAACAGGTACGGAAGGGGAGAGGAGGAGCGGTACAGGAGGGATGATAGCCTGAGGGACAGGGATGATAGCTTTAGGGACGCGAGTGGGAGGTTCAGTGACAGCGGGAGGTATGGGGAGAGCGGGAGGTATGGTGATGATGATGATTCAGACAGGGAGATGGATAGGGAGAGGGAGCGAGAGAGGGAGAGGGAGAGGGATAGGGAGCGAGAGAGAGGGCGTGACACGGAAGAGAGTGACATTGACAGGGAGGTGGATAGGAAGGCTGGTGGCAGGGATAGGAGCAGGGAGAGGGAGAGGGAGAGGGAGAGGGAGGAGGGCAGAGAGTATGGTGGCGGAGGCAAGAGTTCGAGGGAAGGGGACTCTGATTTAGACCCGGATGGAACCCGCGGTGGGAACGAGGAGAAGGAGAGCTCTCCTTCTCGCCGCCGCAGCAGCAGTCCCGGGAAGGACAAGGAGGAAGAAGATGAGTTTTTTGAAGCGGCTCAGGAAGAGAAGTCTGGAGATACGGTGGCTGGTGAGGGGCAGGCAGCAGGGGCGGGTGGAGATGCTGGGAAGGAGGATGGCGTTGAGAAAGTGGAGGATGGGGAGAAGGGAGGCGAGGAAGAGAAGGGTGAAGAGGTAGGGGAGAGTGTGGCGGATGGTGGGAAAGGAGTGGAGAAGGAGGGTGTGAAAGAGATTGAGGTTGAGGGTGGTTCAGGGGATGAGCCGAGGGTGGAAGGGAGTAAGAAAGCTGTGGAGAAAGGAGAGAGGGAGGAGGACAGGGACAACAGCGATAGGGAGAGGGAGAGGGATGAGAGCGATAGGGAGAGAGGTAGGGATAGGGAAGAGCTCAAAAGGAGGGAGGAGGAGAGGGAGAGGTACCGAAGCCCAGAACCTGACAGTGACCCAGAGAGGGAGAGGGAGAGGGAAAGGGAGAGAGAGAGGGAGAGGGGAAGGGGCAGGGGGGGCAGGGGGCGAGAGGACGGGGAGTACAGTGACGACCGCGAGGAGTGGGACGAGTTTGGCGAGCGGCGCCGCGGCCGAGACAGGCGCGACGACCGTGACGACCGTTACCGAGACGACCGGGACCGGGATGATCGTGATGATTATGACGAGCGCGACTGGAGGGACGATGACGTCAGGAGGCGGGGCGGGCGGCGGGACAGCGAGGAGCACGAGCGTGGCGGGCGCAGGGGCGGGAGAGGGAGAGGGGGCGGCAGTGGGAGAGGTGCTGGTGGGGCCGGTGGGAGCAGGCGGCGGCGGCACCGCGTGGATGGGTCGGGGTGGCCGCCGAGGGGCCGGCTGTCGGAGCGCATGGAGGAGGTGCATGGCAACCTGTGGCGCGAGCTGTGGGACAGCGCTGAGCCTGAACCTGCTCATGAGCAGAGGCCTATTTTCCACTTCGACCTGGAGGGCGAGAAGGTGAGGGCTGAGGGGAGATTTGAGTTGACTCAAAATTCGAGTTGACTCAAAGCTGCAGGACAGGGCTGAGCCTGAACCTGCGCATGCGCAGCGACCCATCTTCCACTTTGACCTCGACGGCGAGAAGGTGCGGGGCATGAAGGGCGAGAGTGGGCAATGTGGGAAGTGAGGGGAGTGTGGGGGAAGGCTAGTCCGACAGCACTGAGCGTGATCCTGCTCACGAGCAGCGGCCTATTTTTTTCCGCTTTGACCTTGAGTGCAAGAAGGTGAGGGGAGGGGGGTGAGTGAGGGGAATGGGGGAAAGTTTTTTCCGCTTTGACCTTGAGTGCGAGAAGGTGAGGGGAGGGGGGTGAGTGAGGGGAATGGGGGAAAGAGGGTGAGCTGCTGAGGCAGCTTCTTGACATGCAAATACTACGCCCACCTGATCCACTCTTCCCATCCCCGACTCTTCACCCTTCTCACATCCAACCCCTCCCCCTCCCCCTCCTCATCACCCCCCTCCAGATGCTGCTTTATCTGGACACAGTGGTGCCGGAGGAGCTGCTGGGGCAGCTTCTTGAAATGATCCACTTGATTCACCTACTCACCCACCCCACCCCACCCCATCAGATCCTGATCCTGCACCACTTAGACACAGTGGTGCCGGAGGAGCTGACGGGGCAGCTTGTTGCAACGCAGACACTAACCCTCTGCACTCCCCCCTCTCCCTTCTTTGCCCCACACCCTCCCGCCCCCCATCGCACCCTTCTCCACCCCCCGCCACCCCATCAGATCCTGCACTATCTGGACACGGTGGTACTGGAGGAGCTGCTGGGGCAGCTTGCTGAAATGCAGGCACTAAGCCTCCACCCCCCTCTTCCACCCTAACCCTCCTCTACCCCTCTCCACCCACCTCCACCCCCCTCCACCCCATCAGATCCTGCACTACTTAGACACGGTGGTACCGGAGGAGTTGCTGGGGCAGCTGCTGGCGACGTGCTTCTCGTCGGCTGTGCTGCTGTTGGGTCGCGACCAGGGGGGGCGAGAGGAGCCGGTTGCGGAGCAGAGGCAGCGCGTGGCGGGCATGGTTTCCAGCATGTGGCAGTGGCTGGACGATCGTGAGTCATGGGGGTAGGCTGGTTTGCTGTTACGTGGGATTCCCGAGCTGGTGGATTCCGAATTTCCTCAAAAGGCAACAGCCATGGTGGCAGCTTCTTGTGCTTCATCCATCCCCACCCCTCTCCACCCCTTCCATTCTCCAGAGAGCGCTGGCAGTTGCTCCGACGAACGAGTCGAAGACTTGGAGGTGCTGCTGAGGGCGTTCACGCGCATGGAGGCCACAGCCATGGTGGCGGCGTCACTGTGGAAGCGCCTGCAGGGCTGCTCACGGCTGGTGGCCAAACTGCTGTCCGAAAGGGCCCTCAACGCCACTGATGTGCCGTCTGTGCGCCTGCTGCCCGCTCCCATCCGTCTTCCGCATCTGCCTGTGAGTATCTGGTGTGAATGCGTCGGGACGGAGCATCCGTTCTGAACCACAATCATCTCCGCCCCCCTGGCCCCTCCTCCCCCTCTCTCCTGCATAAACCCTCCTTCCCCCTCCTTCTCTCCCCTCCTCCCCTCCGCTCTTCCCCTCCCCTCCTCCCCCCGTTTCCCCTGCCATCCCCACCCCACACTCCTTCCCCTCATTCCAATCTGCACTCCACCAATCACAGGAGCCGGACAGCCGAACGGACGAATGGCGGGTCGTGGGTAGGCTATGGCAGGAGAAGGAACCTTCGGGCAGCAGCAGCAGCGACACCACTGGAGCAACCAGCAGCACCCCTGGCAGCAGCAGCAGCAGCTCCTCTGCTGCTCCCCCACTCCCCCCTGCTGCCGCCAAGGCTTCTGGCGGGGGGCGACGCATGGGGAACCTGCTTTACAGGCACGAGCCCACAGAGCGTGAGGTTATTTTCACATCGCCAGCGTTTGTGATTTTCAACACGGTGGACGAGGAGGATGCGGCGACGGGCGCTGTGGCGTCGAGGGACTCGGTGGAGATTGTGAAGCACCAGCTGTATGCCAAGGCAAGCTTGGATGACCTCACTCTTGCGCTCAAGGTTGCTGCGCAGGAGTAGAAAATGAATTTCGTTTTTTTTCCTGACTATATTAGGGAAGGCGAGATGACCTGTGTGGCAGGCAAATTTGGTGGCGAACTTTATTAGGAGATCGTTGAAGCCTTAAGTGAGGTTGTAGTGTTTTGAAAGAACATTCGAACCACTGTTGCGCCTGAAATCGTTCAGAAACTCCTGGAACATGGTCGCTACCATGCCAGGAAGGCCACCGAACCAAATTCCTTGCCTCGAGCTTGACGAACGTCGCTGTACGCGCGCAGTTGTCAGATCTTCCCAGCGCCCGAGCTGCAAGGCGGAGCACACCGAACCGAAGCAACGAGAGAATTGCTCCAAACCCAGCAGTTCCAACGCACAAAAATATCCTACCCCGTTTTCCCGCCTCTGCCACAGGCATTCGAAACAGTATCCCTCAGCGGACATCTCCAGCTCCGAAACCGTGACCCCGTCAGCGGAGTTCACTTCTGACGTGGGCTGGGCTAGCCTTCCGGTGGCGCGTCCGAACGACCGAACCCAGTTGGAAAAGGCGCGACTCCCGTCGATTTGTCCGCTCCGAGGACAAGTGCAGCTTACTGGTCAGCGGCTTGCTTACGCGGAATTTGATGGGCTCCCGAAGAACGCGCGTGGCGCAAAACCTGCGCCAACGCGGAACTGGATACCGCAGACCTACGCGTTCCCCCCACTTCCCGTCTCTTTCCGTCAGTTCTGTCCAGTTCTGTCACACCGTCACTCCGTCATTCCGTCAAGTTTTTGCCAGAGAAGCATCAGTGAGCATGAGGGCTGGAGACAGGTCACAGGAGCAAAGCGTGCAAGTCCAGCAGTTGACAGATAATTGCAACACATGTCCGACGAGGTTGGAGTGTGCTTGTGCCTTCTCAACGAGCCGTTGAAGGAGATCATTATCAGGCACACACACACGAGATTTGAGGGATTTCAGATTCCTAAGGTGGTCGCTAGATTATGATGGAAAAACCTGAGCAGAAACCCTGTTAGCGCCTCGACTCGTACGGATGCTCGTGCGCCTTCGACCAGAAAACAAGCTTCATAGTTCCCTGAAATTCTGTCTCTTTGGTTGGAGTCCAGAATTTGTCATATAAAGTAAGTTCAGTTAGAGTTAGTGCCTTTCAGATGTCCCTTGCATAATTTTTAACCCTTTCTTGTAGTTACCACCAACATTAGTTACACAAGGTACGATCAATGGTGGATCCTGAAGAAGTTAATCCACTCAACAGTAGCAGCAGTAGCCATGGCAGCAGAAACCCGCCAGTTCCGTCTAGTCCGAGTCAACCCAGGGTCACAGGGCCTGGAATCCGTAGCGGTTCGACTCAGCATGATTCCACCAGCAATGTGTTGACCATGTTTGGTTCGAGATTTTCCCCCATCGAAGCGTTGTCTAGAATCCTTCGCGCAACTAGCGGAGAAGAGCCCAGCTCCAGCGGACGACGCGGTGGTCAAGCACCCGAACGAGCCAATCAGGAGCGACACCAGCTCCTTCCGCAATGGCTATCTGACAGCACTGACGGCCGTCAGCTTCAGCAGCAGCAGCCACGTCAGCAGCCACGCCAGCAGTCTCAACGGCAGCAGGCGCACGAAAACGGTCAGTTTGTCAGCGCTTCGGACTCGGATCAAGAAGAGCAGCATCTATTCCACCGCGTTGTCGACGTCGCGGGATCTCCGCCGTTATCCGCGCTTAGTCTCGGTCTCTCCTCCGCGTTTTTCGGCTCAGATCAGCGCGCTGCTCCTGTGCGTCGAAATCCCGGCCAGTCCCCTCTTCTCGCCAGCCAACCCGTTACAAGCAGTCGATCCGCTACAAGCGGTAGCTCCCCGCTCATCCTTTCTGACTCGAATTCAGAAACTACGAGAAATCTACCAGGTCTAGGAACTAGTGGACCTTTTGAAGGACAGACGGGAGAAGGGCCACGTGTCACGCGGTCGCACCCTCCGCAGTTGCCGCCGCTGCCTCCTCCAGCGATAGCACCCGCCTCTCAGAAGCGCGCCGAGCGTTCTGCGACGGTCAACGATCAAGAACGAGTAGATGATTGCCACGTGGAAGGACGAGGGGAAGCGCGCGCGCGCGGGGAAACTCGTGGGGAAGGGGAAGGGGAAGAAGGACAAGGGGGAGATTCCGCGCACCCGAGCATCTTCTCCGCCAACGGGGATGCCGTTTCAGGGTGCCGTCCTTATGAGACTCCGCCACCCATTCAGCGACGGCCGTACGATGCCCACGTGGCAGTATCGTCGACCAATGGCGAGCCTTTCAGTCTCCGGAGTCTCACTTCCCCCCCAACTCCATCCCAGATGGCAATTCTCCCCGCATCCTCCGCCGCTTTGCACGCCTCGCCTTCGTTATTGTCACTTCCGGGTAGCTTAATAGAGGGAGCGGAGAGGCGGGAGAGCGACGCAGGCGGGGAAATTCGGCTGGATGTGGACTTGGGAGGGGTGGAAGGGAGGGGGGAAGAGAGACGGAGAGACGGAGCGCATGGTGCAGCGGGTGGAGTTGGAGGAACGGTTGAAGGAAGGGGATCGGCAGGAGAAGCCGAAACAGCATCAGCAGTGGGAGCAGGTGCAGGAGCAGGAACAGGAGCAGAAGGTGGCGCAGGAGCAGGAGCGGCAGAAGCAGGGGCAGCAGGAGCGGCAGGACAAGCGGGGGTGTTAGCGGTAACAGGGACAGCAGGGAGCGAAGGTGATTCATCAGAGACGGCAAGCGACGCCGCAGGGGAAGCGGCGGCAATGGCAATCATAGGAGCAAGAGGGGGAGGAGCAGGGCGAGCAGCTGGAGCGGCAGAGGGACGGTCGGAGACACAGAGGGGGAGTCCCACTGGTGGCAACCCTGGTGAGGACACGGACGAAGGGGCGAGAGGAGGGGGAGGGGAAGGGGGAGGCGGAGGCGGAGGCGGAGGCGGAGGGGGGACGGTAACGCGCGGGTCGGACATGCACCTGGCTGCGCGGAGCCTGGAGCAGGCCGTGCCGTTCGCGTTCCTGCTGCTCTTCGTGCAAGTCCGGCAGCACCTGATTGGTGAGTGGGGAGTGAGGCAGCACCTGATTGGTGAGTGGGGAGTGAGGCAGCACCTGATTGGTGAGTGGGGAGTGAGGCAGCACCTGATTGGTGAGTGGGGAGTGAGGCAGCACCTGATTGGTGAGTGGGGAGTGAGGCAGCACCTGATTGGTGAGTGGGGAGTGAGGCAGCACCTGATTGGTGAGTGGGGAGTGAGGCAGCACCTGATTGGTGAGTGGGGAGTGAGGCTGGTCAGCACAAGAGCAGATTCAGCTGGCGTTGTGTGCGTGGGCAATCGAAGAATAAGCGCAATTGGCGTTTGGGCTTGTGTTGCCATGCATGCGTGGGTATGAGGGTAAGCATGCGTGGTTGTGTTGGCATGCATGCGTGCACCAACTCACCAACTCACAGCACGCCAGCGCGCTAGCATGCTAGCACGCCAGCACGCCGGCACGCCAGCACACCAACTCACCAGCACACCAACTCACCAGCACACACGTGTATCTTTCTGTGCTCTCCCTCTCCCCACACAGGCTTCTGCACCGTCGTGTGGCTGACAGCGACGCTCTTCAAGGCCAACGACTTCATCCGCAAACAGGGCGCACTCAAGGTACATTGCTGTCCGTCTGTCTGACTGTCACCCCTTCCTTATAAGAACCACTTAACATGCTGTCACCGTCAGGTAATAAGAACCGTGCCACACCCTTCAGGTCATAAGAACCGTGCAACACCCTCTCCGTGAACCTTCCCCACGTGCCCTGCTCATACTCCCCCCATCGCCCTTTGCTTCTCTTTCCCCCTCCTCCTCCCCCTCCCGCTCCCTTGCTCCTCTCCTCCCCCTCCCGTTCACGCTCTCCTTCCCCTCCCTTTGCGTCTCCGCGTTCTCCTCTTCCACCTCCCCTTCCTTCCTCTTCCCCCGAATTTATTGCCAGGCGGACCGCAATCCGGTGCTGCTGGCACTGGCAGCTGTGCTGCTGCTTGCACACGTGGCAGTTGTTAATTGGCTCTTCTGGCCCGAGCAGCTGTGGAGACCACTTCTGCTCATACCGCCTGCTGAAGTGCCCCCTTTCTGGCATGCTCTCTTCATTATAGTCACAAATGGTGAGTGTTCGAAAACTGCATGTTTTGTGTATGTTCTTACGGATGCTATGTCAAATCTGCTATAAGGTGTTGATTTCAGTATCAAATCTGTTAAACTCACTTCAGTAATGAAAATCTGAAAGGAAACCGTCTCACAAATCTTAACAAGAAAACTGTCTGTGCGAAATTGCATTTCACCTCGCCTATTTTCCACCGCTAATCTTCCTTTCCCCTCTCCCCACCCCTGATCAAACATGTGGTTGCCATCAGACGTGCTGGTGCGGTTCGCGGCCATGGCAGAGAAGTGTGGCATCCTCGTTGCATTCTCGCGGCTTCCTCGTTGCATTCTCGCGGCTTCCTCGTTGCATTCTCGCGGCTTCCTCGTTGCATTCTCGCGGCTTCCTCGTTGCTCCACATTGTTTGTCCCACTCCCCCATCCCCTCCTGCCTGCCCATCAGACGTGCTGGTGCGCTTCATGGCCATGGCAGTGAAGTGTGGCATCCTCGTTGCTCACCGCCGCAGCACGGGGATGCACAATCGCCACCAGGTATGCACGGCGTGTCAGGGTGGCGAGTGCCGTTTGTGTCGACTCGAAAGTCACTACGTTGCTCACCGCCGCAGCAAGGGCCTGCACAATCGCCACCAGGTAGGGAGTGCGTTTTGGGACATCCAGCACCTTGCAGCACGCAGCACCATGCAGCACCATGCAGCACCATCCTCGTTCATTGCACACCACTGCAGCAAGGGTCTGCTCTCAGTGTACCAACCTTCTCTTCTCTCTATCTCTCTCTCATTCTCTCACCCGTCCCTTAATCACCAGCCGCAGATTCCAGCCCTCGTGTAAAATACACATCCCCGGTAGACCATGCTTTTGTGCCGGCACCCGTGTGGTTACCATTTGTTGTCTTGTAACTCTCTCCATCACTCTCCCTCTCTCCCTCATAGCTTCCCTCTCTCCCACCAGGCGCAGATACTAACCTGCATGGAGTATCATTGTATCCCCCTATCCCCCGCTCTCTCTCCCTCCCTCCCACCCATCCCCCCTCTCCCCCACCAGGCGCAGGTCCTAACCCTAGTGGAGTACACAACTCTGCTCTACCGTACCTGTGTGCCAGCACCCATGTGGTTCCAAATTTTTATAAATTCTCCAAATTTCCCAGCATTCTCAATGACCAGGCCTATGGCCGACTCACCGCCTCCCTCACCGCCTCCCTCACCGCCTCACTCCTTCCTCTCCCCTCTCCTCTCCTCTCCCCCACCAGGCGCAGGTCCTAACCCTAGTGGAGTACACGTCGCTCCTCTACCGTGCCTGGGTGCCGGCACCCATGTGGTTTCTTGCCAGTCTGTTCTTAGCTGTATGATTGTTTTTTCCTCCTCCCCCCCTCCTCTCTCCCCCACCAGGCGCAGGTCCTAACCCTAGTGGAGTACACGTCGCTCCTCTACCGTGCCTGGGTGCCGGCACCCATGTGGTTTCTTGCCAGTCTGTTCTTAGCTGTATGATTGTTTTTTCCTCCTCCCCCCCTCCTCTCTCCCCCACCAGGCGCAGGTCCTAACCCTAGTGGAGTACACGTCGCTCCTCTACCGGGCCTGGGTGCCGGCACCCATGTGGTTCCAAATTTTTATAAATTCTCCAAATTTCCCAGCATTCTCAATGACCAGGCCTATGGCCGACTCACCGCCTCCCTCAGCCGCCTCCCTCACCGCCTCACTCCTTCCTCTCCCCTCTCCTCTCTCCCCCACCAGGCGCAGGTCCTAACCCTAGTGGAGTACACGTCGCTCCTCTACCGTGCCTGGGTGCCGGCACCCATGTGGTTTCTTGCCAGTCTGTTCTTAGCTGTATGATTGTTTTTTCCTCCTCCCCCCCTCCTCTCTCCCCCACCAGGCGCAGGTCCTAACCCTAGTGGAGTACACGTCGCTCCTCTACCGTGCCTGGGTGCCGGCACCCATGTGGTTTCTTGCCAGTCTGTTCTTAGCTGTATGATTGTTTTTTCCTCCTCCCCCCCTCCTCTCTCCCCCACCAGGCGCAGGTCCTAACCCTAGTGGAGTACACGTCGCTCCTCTACCGGGCCTGGGTGCCGGCACCTGTGTGGTTCCAGTTCTTTCTCAACGACCAGGCATACGGCCGCCTCACCGCCTCCCTCACTGCAGGGCTCTACCTCGCGTTCAAGCTCTCCACCTCGCTCGACAGGGTATGGCATGCTGCTCTCGTCATCTTTCCTTAGGCGCCTCAAAAGTAGATAACTAGTTGTATGGCCGACTCACCGCCTCCTCATTGCTGGACTCTACCGCGCCTTGAGCTCTCCACCTCACTCGACAGGGTATGCTTCTCATATCACCTGGTACGATATGGCGACGTCACTTGTGCGCATTCATTGTTTAAGCTCGTCGCCTGGCGCCTCAGAAGTGTCACTCGTTCTCAATGGATTCTTCTCATTGCTGTACTGCTGTTTTTGTGTCAAGTCTCTTTGATTCCCTCTACTTGTTGTGTATCGTTGAGCCATGCTCAACAATTCGTCAACAGCTACTCAGTAGTTGAAGGTCATGGTCGGTCACTCCTCTTGTTTATCTTAGAACCATGCTCATTAGTTTCACAATATTTTCTGTTTTGCTGGCTGTCCCTCTACAGTCCCTCACTCTCTTCGCTTGTGCGACAGGTGCCGCTCTTTGTCTCCACGGATTTACAGTCTCTGGGATTTTTTCAGTTAATCCAAATACTGAATCAAACCTCTCTCCCCTTGTGCGCCAGGTGCTCCTCTTTGTGTCCGCTGTTCGCCAAGCGGTTGGGAAAGGCGAGCAGTATGGGACCGAGGCCACGCCTGACGAGGTATGCTTTTTGGTGAAGGGGAAAGATTCCAAAAGCAGTATGGCACTCCGGCCACAGCTAGCTAGGTGTGTATGGTCACAGCAGAGTACACATGGCCATTCTAGGGGAGGGGACGAATGGCCATGTGGTGGACTCTGCTTGCAGGCAGAGGAGACAGCAGAGCGATGTGGCTCCAGGTGAGTGAACAGAGGAAACTGAGAAACTATTGCACTCAAGCACCCGAGATGGTATGGGGTTTGTGAAACGATTTTTGAGCCAAAGTAGGACAGTTTCAATAGGTTGATTGGACAGTTTCTGTGAAGGTTCTTTGGCTGTCGAGGGCGTGTTTGCTCGGTATGACTGGTTCTGACTGCATGCGGCTGTATCCCTGACCTGCATCACTATGAGCTCATCACCTCACATTGGCTCAAATGTGTTTCACGGCCTCCTTTCACCCCTCTCTCTCCTGCTGTTTCTGCCAATTCATGCTGATCCTGGGCTGACCAGCGTTCATATTCGGGAATGTGCATACTTGCACCTTTTTCTCTCTTTCCTCCTTTTTGCCCCACCAGGTGGCAGCAGCCGGCAACATGTGTGCCATCTGCCAGGAGCACATGACAGGCCCTGTCACGCTGCGATGCCGCCACGTGTTCTGCGACGAATGTGTCTCTGAATGGTAAGTTACGATTCATTGGTTATCTAGTAGTCATGAAATGGTCAGCAGCAGGTGTGCTGTATCATCAATCGCGTTGGTGGTAATGCACTGTGAACCTCATTCTGTTTCACCCGTTTTCATGACTGTTGGTACAGTGCGTTGTAGTTTCTGTATTAACTAGTTATTTCCATACTCATCCATCCATGGCAGGTTTGAAAGGGAGCGGACCTGCCCTCTGTGTCGCATGGTGGTTAAACCAGCAGGGCTACGCTCATTCAGTGATGCCAACACAAGCCTGCTAGTTCAGCTGTTTTGAATTGCCTCCACCATAGCAATTAGGTACATTAGTTTATTACTTGCAGTGCAAGATCCTTCAACTTGCTACATACCAGCACACATAACCTACTGGTACTACATACAGGCACATTCAATCTGCCATGTATACATATGTCTTGTCAACCAGCCACAGAACCTCGAACGAAAAGAATCATGCCAGCCAAGGCCGTCAGTAAGATAAGATCAAATCTGGTCCACTTCGATTTTTATTGTAGTGCGAGGTGAACCAGCATTCAGTGCCACTCAATTTTCTCCAGCATTAAGGCCTGCTAGGCCCACCTTCACCACCTGCTGCAGCTCCACCAGCACTACCACTCCGGCCCCTGTCAAGGAGAAAGTTTTTTAAAGAAACGGACAAAGACAGCAAGAAATGAAACACAGCAGGAACAAAATTAGAATGTCTACCACAATTCCTCAAGTCTGTTACAGGACGAGACATCCCAACATCATGACCCTACCTTGTGGAAAAGGGAAACCACACATGTGGAGAGCACACTAGCATTTATGCGGAGGGCACATGAACACACGTGGAGTAAACACCAATACTGTGAGCCAGCACTTGTCATGGGGTGGGGGGTGTTAGAATAACCTCTAACCACCTACCTAGGTGGAACACCAGAAATTTGAGGCGCCTCAAAACTCAAGGGAGGAGAGGGGGTTGGGATAGTCTCAAACCACCTGCCTAGGTGGAGCGCCGGCGCTGCCATTGCGAGGCGGAGGAGGGGAGCGCCCACGGCCACGGCCACGGGGTGAGGGCGAGCGGCTGTAGCTGCGATCCCGATCTTCATTGGAATAGCTGGGCGATCTGGTAGTGGATGGGGTGGGTGAGAGAGGGAGGGAGGGAGGGAGGGAGGGAGGGAGGGAGGGAGGGAGGGAGGGAGGGAGGGAGGGAGGGAGGGAGGGAGGGAGGGAGGGAGGGAGGGAGGGAGGGATAGAGTGGAAAACGTGGGTGTAGGAGGGGGGAGGTGTATGATCAGCAGGCGTACCACGGAAGGAGACCTGAAATAACCCAGCCCAGCAGTCGATGAAGACAGGAGGGAAGCGAGGAGAACGCGCAGTGCAGGGATGGTTGCAGTGGAGGAATCATCCAAAAACGGTTGCAGAGAATGGTTCATATGAGGGACCAATCCTACCTGCGCGGAGGGCCGCTGCGTCGAGGGGGAGGGGAGCGCGAGCGGCGGCGAGGAGGAGGCGAGAAGGAACGTCGGCCTGGAGGGGAGCGCGAGCGTGATCGTGCTGATAGGGAGGGAACAGATGCGAGGAGCGGAAAGGAAAACGAGGGTCAGGCACGGAAAGGGTGGCGGACGAAGAAAGGGAGAGATATGCAACTGATGGGGAAAATGGGTTCAACGACGGACAGTGGAAGAGGTAAAGAGTGGTGGAGATAGGAGAGGGAGGTCGGGGAGGGGGGGGATGACATACATTAAGAGCTTCATGCTGATTCAACGAAAAGAAGCAGCAAGCAAACCGTTCCATTGGAATTTTCACGCAAAACGAGCGGGAAAGATGCAATACAGGTCTCTCACTCAATACTCACAATAGCCACGGCGTCTACCGAAGGATGGACGGTCCCTAGAGCTAGAAAGGAAACCAACAAAACGCACACACACGCCCGCACACACACACACACAGACACACATATCCGCACGCACGCACACACACATGAAGCGGAAAGATTAGGCAGATAGCATGGATCGTGTTACAATCATAATATTTTTAGATTCTTAGCAAACTCAATTGGTATCCCTCTCTGGTTGACATCGGAGAGACTTCGATTACCCTGATCAAATACTTAAATTTTCACATGGCAGACCACACATGGCATACTGACCTGTATCGCTCCCTGGTGCGCATCTCGTCAGGCTTCTTGCGATTCTCCTCCGCGAAGACGACCGTGATCTCCCTGCCATTGAAGTTGGTCCGATCCAGCTCGTACTGCGCGTCCTCCGCATCCGCCATGTTCACGAACTGGTAACCAGATTGCGATATCATGCCACCACCATCACCACCATAAACAGTTACAAAATTGGAGCCTGTTCAGAATCATAAAAAAAAAACTAAGAAAAACATGTTCGTAATGTGAGGAGAAAACAAAGGGTGGTAAAGAGAAATTACCTGAACAAATCCGAATCCACGTGGTTCTCTGCGGCAGCCAGGAAAGCAAGGGGAGAAGGCAAGCGAAACAATGTCAGCGGCCTTTATAATACGACGATCAATGTATATTGTTAAAGCAAACCAGCACATGACATGGTACAATGGAGAAACTGGGGGGAACGAAAACGGATCGAAAAAATAATGAGGGAGAGTGAGAGGGAGCGAGTTGCGGGGAAATATAGGAACATAAAAAAGGAAATGCGAAATACGATGGTCAACACGACGATGACCGACCTGCCACCGTGACATGCAACCTGCGATTGACGTCCTTGTGCCAAGCTGGAACTGCCATGAACCGCCATGAGCTGACACAGGTCGCACTTCATAGCTTGTGCCCTTCGAGTCACTTGTGTTGTGCAATCCTCTCGTTACTTCCATTGCCCCTTCTAGGTTTCCCGTCAAATCAGCAAGATTTCACGCAACTCCGTAACTTCGCTTGGCTTGGCTTCACTTCGCTTCAAGCTCATCTTTCCAGCCTCGTCACTTCTGAGACTTGAAAGCTTGACCCAATAACAAATTGCCTCTTCCCTTCCCTGCCGTAATTCCCAGAAACCCGCAAAGGCTGAAGTGTGAACAGCGAGACAAGCAACAAAGGCTTTCTAAGGTGGGTTCACTTCACGCAAAGAATAAACTACACAACATTCGCAAGCAAACACAGCCGATACGGGTTGAAGATTTACCAACATACCCTGTGTGGTAGTCCTTTGGTAGGTAGACATCCTTGATCGGGCCGTATCGCTCAAAAGGAACGCGCAGGTCCTCTGGCCTGAAAAATATAACCCACAAACAGAGAGACATGATTGCACTGGTTGCTATCGATAATCCCACAAAACTTGTTACACGGTTAACGGAAAACGACGTTTAATTACGAGCAAAAATCGAAAATATGCAACCATTTGAGTTTAGAATTCACCTGGTATCCCTCGGAATGTTCCTAACCAGCAGACTAACACGCTCTTTCCGTGGTGGGGGTCCGCGCCTGTAAGGGGGGGGACTGCGGCTCCTGTCTCTGTCAGGCGGGGGACCGCGCCCGCTGGGCCCTCGACGAGGCTCCGGGCTGTAGCCGCGGTCCGGACTGTATGGTCGCGACATGGATGCTTAGATAGCAGGCTTTTTTAGTTAAGGTAAACCAAGCGAGAAGGTAGTGAAGTGTAAACCACAAGCTGATTTGAGGAGCTTAGAAACCCTAGCTTGGAGAGGTAGGCTGACAAAACTCCTTGTGAATGGCTTTGCGGGGTGACATGAGGTATCATATTTTGAAGAGGTTAGTAGCGGTTAGAGACGGTGACATCAGCAACCGCTCCGAATTACACAGCGTCGTATTCAACCTAATTTAGGACGCGGAGAAAGTAGACGATCGATCGTCAGTCGCGATCGATGTGCGGATTGGTTACTCTATTTACTATGCTGTAGCCATACTACAGTTCTCTTTTTTGCCAAAATTTCTGTACAGAGTGCGAATGCGACTGATCACTGATTGCGGGAGATCTGTCAATTCGAAAGGGGCGATCGTTACAACGTCGCGGTCGCCATTTTCGCCAATCGATCCTGCCCACTCGATTGTGGGGCTCGATATTTGCAGACGATCCTGCGATATTTGCACTTGCACCGCGTCCTTACTCAGCGGAAATTGGTTGGGCTGGGGACCAGCCAATGATCTGGACGGAAGTGCTTCCGCTGTCAGTTTGTCAGAGCCACGAACTTCGAAATATGTGTAACAAAGCGAAACCAAACTCGATGTGCAATGTTCAACATCCCACCTCCAGGCATTCAAATTTTCAAATATCGACATGGGTGTTAGGGCGTGTGTGGTCTATTCTAAAGTTCGGAAAAAGGTCGAACTTTAGGTGGTTACCCGGGTCACATATTTTCGTCAGAAATATACGCGAAGAAGATGGATTTTACAGCGCACAGAAGTTCGAATGTGGAATGTGAACTTGACTCGAGTCGGCGTTGTGAACGTGCGTGCGCACGTTCGTGCGAGCGTGTGTGATTTACAGCACGTACGAGGAGCGGGCGAAACGGGACGAGGGATTGGCGAAGTTAATAATGGCACAACGAAAACATCCCACGATTATGGCTCTCTTTGGTAGCCACGTGGCAACATTCGAGGCACCTAGGAGAACCGGGTAACCTACAATTTTGTCACGCGGCTCGGCGCGTTTTTTACAAGGTCGAATTTCGGGGTTCGACCTTGTATGTGTGACTGCAGTTTTACAGTGTTGCAGTCCCGATGTTCGAGCTTCGCTCCAAATTACAATCGACATAAGTTCAAGAACCATATTCGCCCTAAAAACATAAACTTTCACAAATTTCAAAGACCACACACGCCCTTACCATTTGAAAAGGCCATCGCTTCATGGTCGTCAAGGCTCTTGGTTACTGTATGCGCTTTCGTTTAAATTCAGACTGAGCAACCTCTGCGTCTTGCGAGCTAACAGTATCAGGCGAATCTCGCGAACGACGACGTCCGGAAGAAGGCGACGACGGCGAAGGGACATGAGGGTTTTCGCACTTCCCATCGCCAAGCCTTGGGATTTTCGGGGTCGAATGCACGTCGCACTTCGCAGAGGACGGATAGGCGCGTCGAGGCGCAATGTGACACTCGTCCCCCCTTTCCAAAACATTTTCCATTCGCAATGGCTGCACGTCCCCTCTGTTCTGGATGCCCTCCTTCGAGATGCTCCTGTTTTCCTCTCTCTCCGCTTCATTCTCTAGCGGAGGCTCCTTTCTTCCAGCTCCAACAGCCTTCTGATGAAGGTCCCGCCGCGTTTTCCCCACAGGCGCGTCTGCATCCTTCGTATTTCCTTCTGTCTCATTTCCACTCCCATGGACTCCTCGCGAACCAGCAACAGCAACTGACTCCCGAACTTCCCCCCACTCCAGGCTCCGAATGTACGACGGAACGAGCAGTCCAAGGCAATCGTTACACCCGTGGACTCGCAATCCGATCGTCTGTCCCAGTCCCTGAGGCCCCACTTGGTCGGACAACACCCTAGCCGCCGTCGTGTTTTCCTCGCCAAGCGCCGAGCCGCACACCAGACAGCGCAGCCCATCCCACGCCGGCGCGGCCGGCCGGGGAGAGAATCCAGGAAATCCGTCGATGCGAACTGAATCCATATCTCCAGCGTTCCAACCTGGCTGCTCTCCAACCCAGAGCGACCAGGCCCCTGCATCACCGATTCTTCGTTCCCCGCCGAAGTCTTGCGACGAATCACGACTGTGGTAACGCAGGTTCTGTTCCTCTAGCGTAAAGGTTACTGCCGGCACGGGGTCCGGCATTGGGCGTGGCTCGACACTTGCCCTGTCGAACTTCGTGGGCATCGGTTGTGACGCGTCCGCTGCAGGCCGAATTAAAGGGAGAGCTGAAGTGTTCCCACTCGCACCGATACAAGCAGCACCGACACTAGAGACACCAACGGAGGTCACGGTAGGACCGCTCGCGCCGACAGCAGTGGTACGAGGCCACCATGACGTGGCTCTAGTAGTACCGCCCCCAGCACTGCCACCGCCTCTGCTGCTGCTGCTGCTGCAATATCGGTTGAAGGAGAGCTGAGCGCCTGCTGCTGCGGCAGCTGCGGCAGCTGCAGCTGCTGCGGCGGCTGCTGCGGCTGCTGCTGCGGTTTCTGCGGGTGCTGCGAGACCGTAGTCCGACGACCCAGCCACCACGGCTCCAAGCTTCGCGACGGTGTGATGGACAGCGCCTCGCTGCGCACCCCACGCGTTTCCCGTCAACAAATCTCGCTCCCCTGCCATGCCGCTGCTGCGCTGCCCTTCGGACTTGGACGCCCGACGCTGCGGCTGCTTGAAATCACCCCGCGGGAATTCCGCGTCGACCATCGACGGCTGCGCGTCGAAGGGTGATTTGGTGGTTATCCACCTCGCCGCCTCGTGATCCTGAGCTGGTGCTGCCAGCACGTCTCGCAGCAGCATGATCTCCTGCGGGGTCAGCGCCGCTTCATGCGGCGCCTCCAAAGCCGCCGCGTGAGTTGCCGTTGCCGCTAGCAGGTGCTGCAATGGCGCCGACTCCTGCTCTGTGATCATCGTCCTCTGCAGTGGGACTTGGTCGTGGATAAGTGTATGCTGCGGTGTTGCGTGCGGCGCCGCGTGCTTCGGTGTTGCCTGCTGCGGTATAATGTGCTGCGGAAATCCATGCTGCAATGTTGCGTGCTGTTCCGGGAGTGCGGCGTCTCCTAATCGCGACCCCGAAACTTCCCAACCGGAGCTGCCCCTGACCACGCCCTTCCCACCAGCCCCACCCAGCGCGCCCTGTAAGAAACCATCCGCTTCCCGCGCTCCTGCTGAGAACAGCGCACTGCAGATCTCCCGCAGTTCTTGCTCTTCGGCTTCCCTCGCCGCTTTCGTCGCTTCCCTCGCCGTTTCCGTTGCTTCCCTCGCCGCCACCTCCTCGCTCATCCCAACGTTCCCCAAACGAGATTCCGGCAGACAAGCAGGCGGCATTGGCGCGTGCTTGCGTTGAGAGCGCGACGATTCCCAAGGGCGTCAGCATCGCGGACACGACCATCGCGCTCCGCCCGCTCCCGCCTCCACCTCCCGCGTGGAAGCGCGCCGCTGTCCCCCCCTTTTCAGGGGCCGCAGCCCCAGAGTGATTGAGGTTGACCGTTGGATCCCCGGGTGAACCCGCGTGTTCCTGTTGTAGGTGGCCGAGAGGAGCAGTAGTAGCGCCACGAGAAAGCATGGCCGCACGCGCTTTCCGTATCTCAGCCAGCAGGTACAACCGGTAGGGGTCGTTCCCCTGAGGAGGCCCTTGCCCTTCCTCCTGATGCTGCTGCTGCTGTGGGGTAGCTTGTAGTGCGGATGTCTGGTCCGGGTTTTCCTGAACCGTTGCGGCTCCTGAAAACAGCCCAGCCAGGTGGGGGTCGTGCGAGCCGCCGTCGCTGCGCGAAACGGTCCTTTGCGAGCCATCGTGCTCGGCGCGCTGCAACAGCGGCGCGCTTTGCGTTCCGCCGCCGCCGTCGTCCAGCAGCAGCGCTTTCAGATGCGCCATCTCTTCCGCGCACAGCCGCCACATCGCCTCCCTTTCTTCCGCCTCACTCCGCCCTACCACCGCATTCCACCCTCCCTCCGCCACTGACGCGCCGACAGCAGTGGGTCTTCCCGCTGAGCCGACACTGGGAAGGTCGGGGGGGGAAAGGTCGGGAGGGGGGGGAGTTCGGGGGGAATGTCGTGGGGGGGAACGTCTGGTTGAAGGTCAGCAGCAGTGGTTCGAAGGTATGGCGCCGGGCTGAGCGCAGCGCCAATCACGGCGGGGAGCGTGGTGCTGGTCGTGCTGAGGCTGCTGGTGGGAGAGAGAGAGGGGTGGCTGGAGAGCGAGAGAGAAGCCGATGCTGCGTCGGGTGAACGCGGAAATAGCAATAACGAGGATGGACCAGGGTCGCTCCGGTGCGCGACGGGTAGGAGGTTCGGAGATCGAGCGACAATGCCAGTGAAGTCCGTGGTACGGCCGCTGAAGGGGACGGTATTGCCACTGAAGTGGGTGGTAGCGGTGGTTTGTTCGGGTGGCGACGCTGGTGAGTAAGAAACGCCGCTGGAGCGAGCTGGGAGTGTCAATGGTGAAACCGGCGACGCGTCTGCTGCAGCTGCGGCGGCAGTAGCGCTGTCGCTGGGCGAAGTAGCAGGAGCAGGAGCAGGAGTCGTGGTAGCAGTGACGCTCGGAACGGGCGACGGGGAAGTTTGTCGCGTGGAGAGTGGAGGTGACGTCAAACCCGCCGTAAGTGGGGAAGATCGAGCCAAACCCGACGCGTGATGGCGTGTCAGCAGTGGCACCGCGCTTCCCTGCGCTGGCTGCAACGCTAGATGCAACGCTGGCTGCAACGGTATCTGCTTTGGGAGTCGCGGCGGTTGCGGGGGGAAACGACGAGCGACGTCCTCTTGAAACCTTTCCCTCGGCGGAAGCGGGTTCAGCTGGTCAAGTCGGCGAGGGGTGTTTACAACGTCCGATTGACGGCCAACGGCTGTTGCGGCGTCAGAATGACGGCCAGCGGCTGCTGCAGCGTCCAAATGTCGGCCAGCGGCTGCTGCGGCGTCAATAGCGGTAGCTTGTCTCACCGCTTGCGAGGCGTTAGGCATTGAAGCGCGGGACTCAACTCTGCGAGGGCTTTCAGAAGCAGAAGCAAGGGCCGCGCCGCCATGGTCAAGCGGGTGGTTATTGAAAGCGCGACGGCGCAACACCTCCAGAACCAGCGCTTGGCGTATATTTTCCTCTCTATTGCTGCTGCTGAGGTGCGGGTTGAACGGATTGCGAACGGGAAGGCTTGGCGTGTGCGGGATAGTCTGCACAAGAGCCTCCCCCATTTCCTTGCGAGTTTCGGGATGCCTCAGAGCTCGAATGTGGATGAAAGGCACGATCTTCTCGCTCGTTAGCCATCGCAGCACTGTTGGTACCGTGAAGTGTTCAGCGACGCACGCTCAATAGCGAAAATCGCGACGTTGGAGCCTGTACACATACTAATATTTAAAGAACTGCCTGGTAAGAACCAAGCCAGTAGAAGAGGTTCACGTGGCTTTGTGACGAGCTAGTATTTTGAGATACGCGCAACAGAGGGCTAATGCTGAAATGTTGCTTGGAGATTGATGAATTGCATGGGTTGTGTGTGTGAAGTGTCTGGGATTGATCTGACTGACTGGAGAGGCTAGCTTTCCGAAGTGTGTGTTTCGAAATGCGTGTCGGTTGCAGCTTTCGCTAAAGGTAGCGATTGTGTCACGCGAAACTCTACTAGACCGAAATCCGCCACGTAACAACATTCAGTACAGCTGCGAAGTGAATTCCGCTCCCACCACGCTCCTGACGGGATGCCCCCGCATCCTCGGTTTGCCTCCTTGCTGCTCTGCTCAGGAACATCGGATGTCTCGCTGTCCTGCACAGGAACGCTGGGGCTTGCACTTGCAGTCTATTGATGAGAGTGACGGTGGTGGGGGAGTGGACCGCGGGTGACGTGACCGGTCTATGGCGGGCGGGACGCAAGTGCCACTGTGCACCACGCAAGCTTCCATGGACAGTGTGGGAAGGGCCAGTAGCCAATGGCCAGGCCACTGCACCGCAGCAACTGAAATGGTCCTACTGTACTGTACATTTGGACGTCATGTTTGACGGCCTGCTAGACCACAGCGAATGAATGAGCTTGAGCGGGACTGCTCACCACCACCATGGCACAGAAAGGTCATCCAGGTTGGACCTGAACCAAACTGAAAAAGAGCTTGATAATGATGGGTCCAGGGCTTTTTTCCCGAGAGGTTGGGTGATTCAGCTCACGCTGCATGTGAAGTGTTGAGTGAATTACTGTAGCCGCATTGGCTGCCGAATGTGAAGCAGGGCACTGATTGGGAGGTTGAGATGTGATGTGGTGTCGTTTCTGAGCGCGGCTGCATCGCATCATGTCGTTTCCAGATTCGCGAAGGTTCGATTCTGAGCTTAGCTGGCTACGCGTGCACACAGCATCAGGCCAACGCCGTTCTGTATGTCAACGGATGCAATAAATAACGAAGCAACGTGCGAAATTTTGTTCTATCGAATGCCGTTTGCACTGCACTGCACTTCCAGCATTTGTAAAAATATATGGTACGCTACGCTTGCTTTTTCTGAATGATACATGGGATAACACCGCTTGGTTATTTTGTGCACCACTTTTCAACACTTGATTCTGCCCCTGCCTGAGTATAATTAACCAAGGTTGTGAAATCAGCATTGGCTTCCCTATCGTTGCATTGCAACTTGTACTAACTGGGAACAAATCACCTAGCTGGAGCAGTGGTGGCAGGGATTGCAAGGCTAGATGAGGAGAGGGCAGGATTATCAGGACCCAAATGGGCTGTTAGGTCTCTCTCGACTGCTGCCAGAAGCTCATCATACTGTGATGCATTCGGTTGTGCCTGAACATAAATAACATCAAGAAGGGGGAAAATTATGATCAGACAAACAGACATGCAGAGAACAAGCAGGGAAGGAGGGGAGAGAGCAGGGAAGCCCGGACATAGGTGGGCTGGAACGTTGCAGAGCGCACTGCCAACATCCCATCATGCTGAGACAGTCAAGCACAATGCATTAAGTTGTGCGTGGTCTAAGGTAGGGCCGACCAGAAGGAATTGTGAGACATGTTCTCGTTATGCTCGACTGTGACTCTTGTGTGAATGATCGTGAATGAATAAAGAGAAACTGCAAGACAAACTCACCTTGAAAATGCACCAGCCGTGGCACATACCTTAAGAGCTCTCACATAGGCAGTCCACAGCTTCATGTCGTTCTGGAATAGCTCTGCCAGCACCTGAAGGGACACATCACACGCACAAAGGGCACGTCACACGCACAAAGGGCACGTCACACGCACAAAGGGCACGTCACACGCACAAAGGGCACGTCACACGCACAAAGGGCACGTCACACGCACAAAGGGCACGTCACACGCACAAAGGGCACGTCACACGCACAAAGGGCACGTCACACGCACAAAGGGCACGTCACACGCACAAAGGGCACGTCACACGCACAAAGGGCACGTCACACGCACAAAGGGCACGTCACACGCACAAAGGGCACATCACACGCACAAAGGGCATGTCACACGCACAAAGGGCACCTCACACGCACAAAGGGCACGTCACACGCACAAAGGGCACGGGAGGAAACATTTTTTTGAGTCAACTCAGAAATCGGCTCTGCCAGCACCTGCTGAGCCACACACCAAGGGCACAGGAGGAAACAACAATGATAATCGTCAGACACATGGCGACCGGAAAGAGTTGGATGCAAGTAGTGGTGCCTACGCAGGTTTGGTGAATGAGCAAGGCTTGGGTTAGCAACTTACCTTCTGCACACATGACCACCCTGCTGGTTGAATCCAGGCAAAGCGGGCTGCAGTTAGTACAGCCCTTCACCAAAACAACCCTTCACCAAACAGCCCTCCAACCTCAGAGAGTGTTTGGAGCTGTTCAGATTGGCCGATCGTCTCACCTCAGATCGCTGCAGCAGCGTGGCGAGCACGACGGTCCACTCATGAAAGCCCACGGTGCGCACGTGAGCCAAAAGGAACTCCGCATCCAGCCTGCTCTGTAGATTGCCCTCCAGGGCGATCTGGGGGGGGGGGGGGGGGAGCGTGTTGTTGAGGAGGGAGGGATGCAGCAGCGTGGCGAGCATGACAGTCCACTCGTGGAAGCCCACGGAGCCAACAGGAACTCCGCGTCCAGCGTGGGTGGGAGGGGGAGCGGATGATTAGCGGGGTAATGACATACATAACAAACCCCTTCCCTCTCGCCCCTCCCCCATCCTCTCCCCATGTATGCTGCAATGCAACACCGAGTCGTACCTTGTAGCGGATGGTGCGCAGAGCAGTGGGAAAGAGGTGACTTTTGAGTCGACTCAAAAGTCACCTGTGCTGCAATGCAACCACGAGTCGTACCTTGTAGCGGATGGTGCGCAGGGCAGTGGGAAAGTCTTCGAGGCGAATTGACCTGCCTCGATCCGACCGCAGGAATTCCTGGTAGGGCCAGTGCATGGGGCACGGGACACGGAGAATGGGGAATATGGCATGGGGGACGGGGAGTGGTGCATGGAGCACGGGGAATGGTGCATGGGGAATGGGGAATGGGTTACATGTTGATGTTGGTGCAGGAGCATGGCACAGCACAAGCGCACGCAAGCTTCAATGTCAGTCAGACTATGGGCTTGGACAATGGCCTTGACCATCAACATGCTGATATTTTAGGCGCCTAAAAAATACAGCTATGGACAATCGCCTTGAACATCAACATGCTGAGCACCTTCTGTGCATACAAACGCTATTGAGTCGACTAAAAAACATGCGCACGCAAGCTTCAATGTCAGTCAGACTACGGGCTTGGACAATGGCCTTGAACATCAACATGCTGAGCAAACTCTGTGCATACAAAGCCACTCACACTGAAGCTAATGTGGGTGCCCTTGGGTGCCCTGGCTGGCTCTCACATATCGGCCTTCAAACGCAAACAATATCTAGACCAATGTTTGTAGGGTTGATGGATAGATAGTCATACACAAATAGAGCAGCCCTTACAGTGAAGTCGAACTGGGTGCCTTCAACAAACGCCACGAGCTGCCCTTGAGTCGACTCAAAAGGCACCTAGATACACAAGTGCAGCGCCCCTTACAGTGAAGTCGAACTGGGTGCCTTTCACGAACGCCACGAGCTGCCGGAGCTCCTCGCTGCTCATGAGGGCCGTGGCTTTCTCCCCCAGTATGTGCTTCACCGTCGTGTGCAACACGTCCCCCCTCGCCTTGGGGGCTCTGTATGAGAAAGGCGGGGGGGGGGGGGGGAGAGGAAGGGGGGGAGATGGAGTAGGGGGCGGGGGGGTGTCAGCAGGGAGAGCGTTGCCTTCTCCCCCAGAATGTGCTTCACCGTCGTGTGCAACACGTCCCCCCTCGCCTTGGGCTCTCTGCGCTAGGCAGAAGGGGTAGAGGGAGCGAGGGGTAGGTTGGGGATGATGGGTGCGTATGTGAGGCGGGCAGGGAACGATGTGGGAGACAAGTGGGGCACGCAGGAGGAGGGGAAGACTCAAGGGGAGCAGGGTAGGGTGGAGGAGGGGGGGACTGAAGTGCGAGCAGCGGAGGGGCACTCATGTGGAGGTGAATCCGAAGAAGAAGACGCTCTTGAGCAGACTCTCGCTGGCCCTCTCGTCCTCCAGTGAGCAGGAGGAGGGGGGGAGGAAGGAGAGAGTCTCACGTGCACCAGGGCAGACAAGAGGGAAGGGCACTCACGTGGAGGTGAATCCGAAGGAGAAGAAGCTCTTGAGTAGACTCTCGCTCGCCCTCTCGTCCTCCTCCACCGCCTGGCTGTACTCGCGCCCTGACCGCAGCAGGAAGCGCACCTGGCATTGGGGGGAAAGGCGGGTTGGAGAACAGGGGGATCGGGAGGGGAGAGGGGGTGACCTGACCGGGAAGAAAGAGACGGAAGCAACAGGGGTGTCGCTGGCCCTCTCGTCCTCCTCCACTGTACCATTCACTGGCTGTACTCGCGCCCTGACCGCAGCAGGAAGCGCACCTGGGATGGCAGGAGAGGGAGAGAGGGGGGGAACCAAAGGGGGAATCGGGATGGGAGACGGGACGATGGGAAGGATAGAGAGAGGTGAAGAAAGCTAGAATTTCACTGGCCCTCTCGTCCTCCTCCTTTGCCTGGCTGAACTCCCGCCCTGACCGCAGCAGGACGCACCCCTGGGATGTGGTATGGGAAGAATGGGGAGCATGGGGAGAGGAAACACAGGACGCACAGAAAAGAGACTGTGAAGGATGCAAGCAAGGACATCTGGGGTGAACTGGGGCGGGGGGGGGAAGATTGATTGATTGAAGCAGGAGTTTCCTGGAAAAGGATTTGGCAAATATGTAGGGAAAACGGAGGGGAAGGGGGGGGGGAAGGGGGAGAGAACGGAGAGAGGTAAGAGAGTGGTGGTGGTTTGGAAAGAGAAATGGGAATAGAAGGATCCACCAGGTCACCTGTTTCTGAAGCCCTACCAGCTTTGCAGCTCTTACCAGCTCGCCTGCCAAGTCGTACATCGATTCTTGCAATGCCACCTGTAGAGCCACACACATGCACACGTGCACACATACACACATACACATGTGCACACATGCACACGTGCACACATACACACACACATGTGCACACATGCACACGTGCACACATACACACATACACATGTGCACACATGCACACATGTACACCACACACGCACAGACACATTACAGGCTGAGAGGGCACAAGGCAGCTGCAACTGCATAACCGTGAAAGGAGCGTTGGACAGGATGAGACGATTCTTGAGGCAGCTCAAAGCTCCTATCGTCTCACACGAAAGGTAAGAAACAGAGACTTTTTTCTAGAATTTCTCAAAAAAACCCTGCAACGGGCGAGCAGGCGTGGGGACACAAAGCAGGCATAGGGTGGGGAAGCCAGCACGGGGGGAGAGCCGAACCTGCAAGAGCCGCAGGGCGCTTTGCTGACCGATGGTTGGGCCTTCTAGCTTCTCCACCACCTGATGAGGGGACGCGAGGGGCGCAGGGAAGGGCGCAGTTGGAAAGGCGGGAGCAAGAGGGAACAGGGAGGTGGGAAGCGTGCTTTGCTGACCGATGGTTGGGCCTTCTAGCTTCTCCACCACCTGATGGGGCACAAGAGGGGCGCAAGGGAGGAGTAGAGTAAATGGAAGAAGCAGGAGGAACGCGGAGGTGAGAGTGCTTTGTTGGCTGACGGGTTTAGGCCTTGGAGATTCACCACCACCCATTGAGGACGCACAGATGAAGACAGGACCAATGGAAAGGATGTGCAAGCGAAGGCATGGCATGAGCACGTACCAGGATGTAGCACGTGGCGGTGCGATATTGCTTGTTCTCAAAGCACTCCTCAAAGAGCCTGCCATGTGCGTGCAGTGCAGTGCAGGCCACACACACACACACACACACACACACACACACACACACACACACACACACACACACACAGTGCAGAGGAGAGAGAGCAGGGGACTGAGTGCAGGGAAGCGGAACGAGCACAATTTGCAATAAATCACAATGAGAAGGAAAAGTGATCGTAGGCAAATGAATCATGCCTTAAAGCATGTAAAATCGGCTCACAACCACCCTTCGGTTCCTCCAACATCCCCCGTCTTGAAACCCCCACCCCTCTAACATACCCAAGCCCAAGCCCCCAAGCCTATCACTTGCTCACATCCCCAAGCCCTCTCTCATGCGTTAAAACACCCAGGCCTCACGTGTTGGAGTTGCCAGCAGAGGCAAACAGGTCGGGCCAGTGGCGGCTGTCGGTCTTGCGCGCCACGCTGACCACCACATCTCGGTACTCCCCAAAGTGCCGGATCAGCTCACACGCCCGGTCCAGCAGACTCGGGCCCTTCTTCACCTCCTTGCGCCGCCGCCTCGCACTCGCACTGAGGGGAAGGAGAGGGAAGAAGGGGGAGCAAGGGGGCGGGGGGAGGGTGAAAGAGAGTTTGAAAGCTACGCTCCCCAAAGTGCCGGATCAGCTCACACGCCCGGTCCAGCGGACTCGGCCCCTTCTTCCCCCTCCTTGCGCCTCCTCTGTGCGCTCCCGCTGGTTAACAAGGGGAAGAGGGATGGAGTGCGGAGAGGAGAGCAAGGGAGAAGGGGGGTTGAGGGAAGGGGAAGTGTAAGATTCTGCGGCCGTGTGGCAGACAGGTGCATAACCGGCTCACCGGATTCCACTGGCACCGCACTGCAACCGCACTGAAACCGCACTGCACCTACCTGGAGGTCTCGGCGCTGAAGACGGTGAAGAGCAGCCACTCAAGGGAGTGGGAAACGTGCAGCCGTGTGGCAGAGAGGTGCATTCCTAGCCCACCTAAACCCACTAGCACCGCACTGCACCACTCTGCACCACATTGCACCGCACTGCACCGCTCTGCACCCACCTGGACGTCTCGGCGTCAAAGATGGTGAAGAGGAGCCACTCGAGGGAGTGGGAGAAGTGCGGCCGCGTGGCAGAGAGGTGCGCCAGCTGCACCGCCTCCTCATCTTGTTGCGCTGATTGGGAGGCATAGAAGGGGGGAGAGGAGAGGAGTACAAGAGGAGGAGGGTGTGTTTAGAGGAGGAGGGTGTTGGCTTGCAGAGAGGTGCGCCAGCTGCACCGCCTCCTCCATCTTGTTGCGCTGATGGGAGGCATAGAAGGGGGGAGAGGAGAGGAATTACAAGAGGAGGAGGGTGTGTTTTAAGAGAGTGTGGCTGAGAGGTGCGCCAGCTGCACCGCCTCCTCCATCTTGTTGCGCTGATGGGAGGCATAGAAGGGGGGAGAGGAGAGGAAGTACAAGAGGAGGAGGGTGTGTTTAAGGAGAGTGTGGCTGAGAGGTGCGCCAGCTGCACCGCCTCCTCCATCTTGTTGCGCTGATGGGAGGCATAGAAGGGGGGAGAGGAGAGGAAGTTACAAGAGGAGGAGGGTGTGTTTAAGAGAGTGTGGCTGAGAGGTGCGCCAGCTGCACCGCCTCCTCCCATCTTGTTGCGCTGATGGGAGGCATAGAAGGGGGAGAGGAGAGGAAGTACAAGAGGAGGAGGGTGTGTTTAAGAGAGTGTGGCTGAGAGGTGCGCCAGCTTGCACCGCCTCCTCCATCTTGTTTGCGCTGATGGGAGGCATAGAAGGGGGAGAGGAGAGGAAGTACAAGAGGAGGAGGTGTGTTTAAGAGAGTGTGGTTGAGAGGTGCGCCAGCTGCACCGCCTCCTCCATCTTGTTGCGCTTGATGGGAGGCATAGAAGGGGGGAGAGGAGAGGAAGTACAAGAGGAGGAGGGTGTGTTTAAGAGAAGTGTGGCTGAGAGGTGCGCCCGCTGCACCGCCTCCTCCATCTTGTTGCGCTGAGGGGAGGCATAGAAGGGGGGGAGAGGAGAGGAAGTACAAGAGGAGGAGGGTGTGTTAAGAGAGTGTGGCTTGAGAGGTGCGCCAGCTGCACCGCCTCCTCCATCTTGTTGCGCTGATGGGAGGCATAGAAGGGGGGAGAGGAGAGGAGGTACAAGAGGAGGAGGGTGTGTTTTTAAGAGAGTGTGGCTGAGAGGTGCACCAGCTTGCACCGCCTCCTCATCTTGTTGCGCTGATGGGAGGCATAGAAGGGGGGAGAGGAGAGGAAGTACAAGAGGAGGAGGGTGTGTTAAGAGGTGGGGCTGAGAGGTGCGCCAGCTGCACCGCATCCTCCATCTTGTTTCGCTGGTTCGGGGAGGGGAGGAGGGGACGAGGGGAGAGGGGGCGGGGCGGGGCAGGGAGAGGAGGGGATGAAATCAAAGAAGGGAAGGAGTGAGCGATGCAGTGTGGCAAAGAGGTGCACCACCTGCACCACCACCTGCACCACCACCTTGATGCGCTGGGGGAGAGGGGGAAAGAGTGACGTGGCAGAATCTACCTGCACTGGACTACCGAGCATGCCTTTTTTTAGGCGCCTCAAAAGTGTACCTGTGACTGCACTACTGAGCAGCGAGCAAACCTGCAGCAAGCACACTGCTCCTCGCTAGACCTATACTGACTCTACACTACCAACCGCACCTGCAGCAAGTGCCGCAGCAGGCAGGGGAGAATGGGTTGCGCCTGGGGCGTGGGCTCAAAGCAGGGCATCTCGGCACAGGAGGAGAGCGACAGGCGCTGGCTCACACCCACGATCACCCCCACTGCTACCAGCACACTCCCTGTAGGCTGTAGCAGGGGTACCAACATTGAACCTGTGCCTCTCTACAAGAATAACTTCTACGCGGGAAACCTGTACCAGGCATTGACCAGTGTACCTGCAGCAGGTGCCGCAGCAGGCAAGGGAGAATCGGTTGCGCCTGGGGCGTGGGCTCAAAGCAGGGCATCTCGGCACAGGAGGAGAGCGACAGGCGCTGACTGACTCCCACGATCACCCCCGCGGCAGGCGACACCCCCAGCGGGTACACCTCGCGGTCGAAGTCGAGCTCTGGGTCTAACTGCTGTACCTCTGCTGGCTGCCCCGATGCATCGTGGTACAGCGAGGGGTACCACACCTGATCAGATGTGGTGAAAAGGGGTTGGGAATGATGAGGAAAGACGGGAAAGGAAGAACCGAAGGGGAGAAGGGAAAAAATTGTGTTGGCAGAGAGAGCAGGTGCAGGCGACACCCCCAGAGGGTACACCTCGCGGTCAAAGTCGAGCTCTGGGTCAAACTGCTGGACCTCTGCTGGCTGGCCTGATGTGTCGTGGTATAAGGAGGGGTACCACACCTGATCAGATGGTGTGAGGAGGGGTTGGGAGTGATGGGAAGAGATGAGGCAAGTCGAGCTCTGGGTCAAACTGCTGCACTGCTGGCTGCCCCGATGCATCGTGGTACAATGAGAAAAGGGGTGATGCGGGGGCCGATGCTTGGTTGAATCAGAGAGCAGATGCATGAGATATCCCAGGCTGGCTGCTGCTGCACCGCATTACACCCACCTGCATTCCCCTGTGACCATACGCCCACCAGGGCACCTCCTCGATCAACGCAGCAGCAGCCTCATCCCCCCCCTGGGTAAGCCAGAAGTTCTCAACCCCTGCCACCAGCGCCCTCTCACTGCCACTATCCAGGTCCAGCAGAGACAGGTCGCCATCCGTGCGCAGCAGCATGCACTTGGTGGGCTGCCGCCTCATCGCCTCTGCCAGTGGGTCTCGTATGCTGGCTTTTCCAGATTTCCCGGTTGCCTGTGTGCCTGCTCCTCTCCTCGCTGCCCCCTGCTGCGCCCCCTCCTTGGACAGTCTTTGCTCGCTGCTGCTGCTCGTGATGGCGACTTGGCCCTCCCCTTCCCGCTCACGATTCCCCTCGCTCCCCGCCTGCCTTTCCCCCTCCGCCTGCGCGTCTGCGTCCCCTGTGCGCGGCACAAAGCGCATGGAGACGAGGGGCTTGCGCGCTGACATTATGGAGAGCTCCCGCACTGTGCGCAGCTGGTGGGGGGGGAGGAGGCATGAGGGAGCGGGGAGGGGGCGAAGAGGCAGCAAGCAAGAAACAAGTGGAAGGTTCGAGAGAGAAATACAAAGCGCATGGAGACGAGGGGCTTGCGCGCTGACATGATGGAGAGCTCTCTTACTGTGCGCAGCTGGTGGGGGGAGGAGGCAGGGGTGGGGGGGGGTGAGGAAGGAAATGGAGCTCTTCATACAGGAGACAAGGGGCGCGTGGCGTTAGAGGCTTGCGGGCAGACATGATGGAGAGCGTGGGGTGAGGAAGGAAATGTTTTTTGAGAATTCTCAAAAAACATAAGAGGCTTGCGGGGAGACATGATGGAGAGCTCTATACAGACAAGAGGCGAGGAGTTAACGCTCACGCAGTGTGGAGTGCCTTTCGATGCGCATAGTTGGAGCAGCACATGCAGTCGCACATGCAGTCGTTTGCACATGCAGTCGCACATGCAGTCGCACATGCACCGACCCATGCAGCCGCCCACTCACAACAACCAACCTGCACTGTTGACAAGTGCAGCGGCGACACGTCCCCATCAACGTGCATGTGAAACACTTTGATGTCAAAAGGGTGGCGTGGCCACAAGAATTTAGTTGGCCCATGCATCCAGCATTAAAGGCCCCCTCTCACCCATCCCTTGCACACAGTGCAGCACAGCACACCCACACGCAACCAACCTGCTCGGTGGGTAAGTGAAGCGGCGACACGTCCCCATAGATGTGCATGTGGAAGACTTGGATGTCAAAGGGGGGCGTGGCCACCAGAATGTAGTCTCCCCACGCGCCCGGTGCTAGAGGCCCTCATTTTTTTGAGTCGACTCAAAAACAGGCTCATCACACATGGATTATATGTTGAGAGAATTTTTGTTGCTTGGACGATTGGGTGTAGCTTGCTTAAGCTTTTGGTGCGCGCGCGACTACCGAATCTGTTGCGTGGCGAAGGGTTTGACCCTGCTCCCAACGATGACACCCTCGAGGGTTGAAGACGTGGCTCTTGGTGTTTACCAGGGCCACCTGGATTGGTCCCCAATTTTTTGGAGCGGGCCAGGGTGTAGATAACCTTGAGTTCTGTTTTACTGGAGGCGTTAGCTTTTCTTGTAAGGCTTCTGCTCCACTCTGTTTTCATTCTCGTAGGCACTGATGAAGGCCTGGTAGGGGATGCCCTCCAGCCGAAACATGTTTGTCTTGTTTTAATTTCTGTTAACGAGAAGAGTTCCGGTTTCACTGTTAGCTAGTGTTAAGATTTTCACTGTTTTTTTCCTACTTGCTTAAGCCTAAACCTAGTCGCTGCTGCTCCCTGGAAAATGTCACAGGATCTGCTCACACAACAACTCCCCCTGCTTACATACAACACACCTGCACGGTGGGTAAATGAAGCGGCGACACGTCCCCCACCACGTGCATGTGAAAGACTTTGATGTCAAAGGGGGGCGTGGCCACCAGAATGTAGTCTCCCCATGCATCCAGGGCTAGAGAGAGACCCCCACTCTCATACCTTGCGCGCACTGCAGCGAAACTGACCTGCACGGTGGGTAGATGCAGCGGTGACACGTCTCCCTCCACGTGCATGTGAAAGACTTTGATGTCAAAGGGGGGCGTGGCCACCAGAATGTAGTCTCCCCACGCGTCCAGCGCTATAGGCCGCGCTGGGAGCGGTTGGCGGCACAGCAGCGATGACTCGTCCAGGTGGAAACGCGGGTAGAGACAGAGCTCGTATCTGGGAGGGGGGGCAAGGGGAGGGCGGCACTGTGAATAAGGGTACGGAAGAGGGACAGACGGCAGGTGGAAGCCCAGGAAGGCAGCGCTCGTAGCTGGGAGGAGGGGAAGGAGCGGGGAGGGCGAGTGGGGAGGTTTTGTAGGATGGAGGCAGACACGATGATGATGATGACCTTGCCCACCCGTTGCACAGTAGCCCGTTGCACAGTAGCCCGTCGCATTGCAAAATGCGTGCAGCAGCAACCCGTTCATTGAGCACATTCTCTTACGAGTGAGACAATGATTGTCTTACGAGTGGGACGCCACCCGGTGGTTGCACACGATGATGATCTTGCCCACCCACAGCAGCCCCTCGCACTTGCAGCTGCAGTCAGTAGTGCAGCCGAATAACAACCCCTTCATTCACAACGCATTCAGTGCAGTCAGCGCAATCTCTTACGAGTGGGACGCCACCCGGTGGTTGCACACGATGATGATCTTGCCGACCCACAGCAGCCCCTCGCACTTGACAGCCCTCTCCTGCATCACGTCCCCAAACACGCGCCACTTGTTGGAGCGCAGGTTGTGCAGGATGACTCCCCGCCGCCCCGCCACTGCCAGGTACGACCCGTCATCACTCGCTGCCACGTGCCGGACTGGCCAGTTCACCCCCATGTACGTTTGCTGGGGGGGGGGAGTGGGGGGTGGGGGAGGGGAGGGGAGGGAGCAGGAGGGGGACGTGGGGGGAGAACGGGCAAACAGGGAATGAAATTTCCTGTTTCTAGACGGGGAAAGGAAGAGTGGGGCAGGTACGACCCGTCGTCGCTCGCTGCCACGTGCCTCACCGGCCAGTTCACCCCCATGTACGTTTGCTGGGGGGGGGGGGAGGGGGGAGGCAAACAGGGTAGAAAACGCCTTTGCTGGGAGGGAAGAGGGGAAGTGACGTGGGTGAGGGGACGGCCCAACGCGCGCCCATGTACGTTTGCTGGGCTGGGTGGGGAAATGGAAAAAAATCAGGCAATGAACACTCACAGAAACGCGTACTCACGGGGATGACCAGGTGCGGCACCCGCAGCCCCCTCCTCGTTGCTCTGCACCAGCAGCACTCGGTCTGAACCCGCGATCCCCTTGCATGAGCACTGTTGTGCAAACGCACACTCATCAAATTGCACACCCACCCAAATGCCCAGACACTCACCGGGATGACCAGGTGCTGCACCCTCAGCTCCTCCTCCTCATTACTCTGCACCAACAGCACCCTATCCGCACCAGCCATGGCCTGCCACACATGAGAGCTCCCCGCCACCGCCTTACTCGAGCACTGCCGCGCAAACGCAAACTGCACCAGCCGCCCCGCCTGCCGCCCCCTCACCCCCACCGCCACCTCCCCCACCATCCCTGCTTCCGCCGCTACAAGCTGGTACCCCTCTTCCCCCCACGCTACAGCCGCCACGCCCCCCACCATCGGCTCACTGCTCTTCACCACAGCGGCTGTAGCGGACCCGGCTGCTGCCGAGCCTGGCGTGGAGGCTGGGTCCGAGCCTGCGGCGGAGCTCCGGGGACTGGTGATACCAGCGGTGGTGGTGGAAGAGGAGGAGGAGGAGGGGGGAAGGAGGCTCATGGAGCCCTGGCGGATGGTGCACATGAGGCGACAGCCTGACACGGACCACACGGCTAGGCCTCGCAGCTTCCACCCCACTGCGAATGCCAGGTTGTCTGGCGACCAGCATATGCACGCCACTGCCCCCGTGTCCTCCAGTGAATACCTAGCCGGGGGGGAGGGGGGGAAGCGGAAGGGGGGGAGGGATGGGAGAGCGAGGATGGTTACCAGAGAAGGGGATGAAGAATGGGTGACAAGGGAGGCTGCAAGACACAGAGTGACACCACACGGCTAGACCACGCAGCTTCCACCCCACTGCAAATGCCAGGTTGTCTGGCGACCAGCATATGCACGCCACTGCCCCCGTGTCCCCCAGTGAGTACCTGGAAGGTTCAAGGGAGGGGTTGAGAGGGGAAGGTTAAATGAGGAATGGGAAAGGGAGACAAAGAGGAGCATGTGGCGGCAGAACGAATCAGACCACTGCCAGGCCCCTTAGCTTCCATCCTATCTGCTCTCGGCTCCCCATAACAAGACAGCACATGCTGGCTGCTGGCTGCTGCCCGCTCACCCCCACTCATCCCCACCCACGCACGCCCACCCACTCACCCCCAGTCGAAGAGCGACACAGTCCTGAGGTGTGCAGAGCTCCTGGCCAAATCAAACAGTTCAACCGTCCCCCTTCTGCTGCCCACAGCCAGCAGCTGCTGCCTCTCGCCCACAGCCACAGTAGCCGCGTCCACCACGCCCACCCACTTCTCTGGCGTCACCTCCTCCACGGGCCTCAGCCCCCTCTCGCCCGTGGAGCACAGCACCACTCGCCCATCCACCAGCACCACCGCTATCAGCCGCAGCGCCGGGGAATATACCATCTGTGACACCCCTCCCCCTGCTCCTCCTGCTCCCGCTCCCCCTGCTCCTGCGCCCCCTGTGTCTGCTCCTCCGCTGGAGCGGCCGTTGGGGGTGGAGGGAGGGGCGGCGGAGGGGGCGGGCGGGGAGGCGGGGTACGGGGTAGGAGGAGGAGGGGGCGAGTGGGGAGGAGCGCGGCGAGTGGGGCGTGCTGGGAAGACCGTTGGCTTCTGGGACGTACATGGGGCCGACCACCTCCCTGCTGTGCTTGCGCCATAGGTCCGCCGTGCCCCGCAGCTGGGGAGAGGGGGGGAGTGAAAGAACGAGAACGAGGGGAATGAGGGGAGTGGATGAAGGGAGCGGCGCGTGCTGGGCAGGCCGTTGGCTTCTGGCACGTACATGGGTCCCATCACCTCTCTGCTGTGCTTGCGCCATAGGTCCGCCGTGCCCCGCAGCTGGGGGGGAGTATGGGGGGGGGAAGGGGGAGAAACGATGAGTGGAGAAAGGGAGTGGGGCGTACTGGGTAGGCCGTTGGCTTCGGGAACATACATGGGCCCCACCCCAACCACCTCCCTGCTGTGCTTGCGCCACAGGTCCGCCGTGCCCCGCAGCTGGGGGGGTGGGGAGGGAGGGGAGGTTGGTGATTGGGGGACGTATGGAGTCATACACAGACTGACGTACATGGGCCCCACCCCACCACCTCCCTGCTGTGCTTGCGCTACAGATCCGCCGTGCCCGCAGCTGGATTGCCACACCACTGCACCACTTTATCGGCCGTCTTTCCGCCCTCACTTCTGCCATCCCCCTCCTTACCTCTTCAACCCCTCTCCTCACCTCGTCGCTTCCTTCCTCCTCTCACCTCTCACTGCGCCCTCCCCCCTCAGTTTCATGTCTACCTCCGCTCACACCCCACCTGCACACGCGTGCGTGTGCGCACTCACCTGGCCGCGCCAGGACACGAGGTGCAGGCGGCAGTGGACAGCCCCAGCAGAATGTGATCCTCGTCTGCCACCATGCCGTTGCTGCCGGAAGGGTAAGGGGGGGGGAGGGAGGGGGAGAAAGGAGAGCAAAGAGTGGGGAGAGTGGGGTGCACGGTGGTAGGGAGGGGGAAACCGGCATGAGGGAGCGGCTGGCGGCCGCCGCAGCAGGATATGGTCCTCGTATCCGCCACAACGCCATTGCTGCCCGAAGGGGGGGAGAGCGGAAGCGGGAGGAAGAAGGGGGGAACGGGATGAGGAGACAGCCTCAGCAGGATGTGGTCCTCGTCCATCAGAAGGAGGGAAAGAGGGGGGGGGGAGAAGAGGGGGAGAGGGGTTGGGTGGTACACAGAGGTAAACGGTGTTGGGATGGGTGAGCATGGCGGTGTGAGGCGCGCACATGAACGAATCAGAGCTGTCATGGATGGGACGTTGGGAACGGCAGTGGGGCGGGGAGGACGTGCATGCATGGACACGTTGCCTCTACAGAGCGGCATGCGTGTGGAGGAGCGGAACTTGAGACGTGAGAGAGGCACAGGAGTCAAATGAACAAACGACACCTGATGTGGGAACTCTGAAACAGTAGTGTGGAAGGGGAGGGAGGGAGAGGGAGGGGGTTGGGAGAGAGGGGAGGGTGGGGTGGGGGGTGGTGAGGAAGGGGGGGAAGAGGGGGGGGTGCGTACATGGAGACGTTGTCCCCAAAGAGAGGCATGCGAGTGGAGGAGCGGAACTTAAGAAGAGAAGTACAGGAGAGAAATGCACACATGACAGTTGATGTGGGAACTTTGAAACGGCAGTGTGGAAGAGGGTGAGGAGGGGAGGGGGTGCGTACATGGAGACGTTGTCCCCGAAGAGAGGCACGCGCGTGGAGGAGCGGAACTTGAGGGCGAGCAGAGAGGGCGGCGAGTCTGGCGACACGAGGCGCAGCGGCTTGGGCGTGGTGCGCACATCGTAGAAGTGTAGCACGCTGCCCGCCGTCTGGGGGAAAGGGGATGGGTTGGGGGGGAAGGGGGATGGGGTCGGGACGAGAACGGGGGGGGAAGAAGGGGCTTGGGCGTGGTGCGCACATCGTAGAAGTGTAGCACGCTGCCCGCCGTCTGGGGGGAGGGTGGGGGAGGAGGAAGGGAGAGGAGAGGGGTTGAAAGGAAGATTGAAAGGAGATGAGATGACACAAAGAGAATTGGACCAGGAGGCTTCAGCACACCAACAACCCCCCACTTCTCATCACACCAGCACTGCCAGAAGCTTCAGCATACCAGCACGGCGAGCGTTTCGACGGCTTCGTTCCATATGGCGTGCAGGTTCCCACCGTCTTCTAGGAGAGACTTGTCATCTCGCACGAACTCGCCCAGCTTCACGCGGTGCTGCGAAATTAGATCAGATGAGCGATCGCAACGCAACACCAACAAGGGGGATTTGACAGGGTGGTAATCATAGGACCAACGGTAGAGTTGGGCTGGCAAGCACACCAGCGCGTTAGGGTTGCGGATGCATTATAGGCATTGATACGCAAACGGTGAAGAGGATTTGAGCCGTGGTCAACCCGTCATGCTGTCCACATCATGTCGCTCCAGCCGTAAACTCCGTCACACCTCGCAAAAGCCTTGAGCTTAATTAGATTCTGCCGACTCACTGAATTTCGGTCTAGCAGCCAGTACACTCTAATGCTAGTCCTTTTTAGAAGATGATGGTACAAACGCTTCTCAAACCCTAACCTGGCCGGAGGTCCATAGTTGAATGCAGGAGAGGTGAACCACGATCAGCAGCCCTCCGCTGATCTCCAGGTGAACGACTGGATCGTCGGGACCGCGAGTCGTTCTGAGAACCTTCGGCCATCCGTACGCGATATACATGGCCTCCACGTGAAGCCGTTTTATCTGTTTCTTTCTACTGTCGAAAGGAAAAATAGAGCTAGAACGTAAATGTCAGACATTCAACAACAGAATGGAGATCTCATGGCCGCTCTTTTCCTATCAATCCAGCTCGAACGCGAGACGACTAGAGGAGTGCTTATCTCCAGAACACCCCCCATGATGAACCTACTAATCTAGCAAGAGCGAGTCGATTTTGCATTATTGCCAGCGCACAAGCAAGATAGAGGAACTAAAGATGTTTTCCTGTCGACCCTGAGGCAGTAGTCGGCAGTGCATGAGAACAAAGCCAGTAACAGCGGTGACGTGCTAACATTACGCGTAGTATCTGGAACTAAAAAGCTGATCACCACGTGGCAACTGACACTTATAATTTGTATAGTCGCCAATGTTCAGGTTATTAAATTCTTACTTTCCATTCGAATGTTCCAACAGGAGTCGAACACACATCATACTGTATCACTCTGTTAGTAACCACAGTTGAAGAAACTAGTCAGTGTATTCCTAATAGCATATACAGGATGGAAACCTTCGTATCAAGCCAAAAAGAATCCTAGTCGGACTAAACTTCTGGGGTCTCGCCCTTGTCAGCCGCCGACTTCTTCGGAAGCAGGACGGAGTGGATGTTTGGTAAAACACCACCAGCAGCAATGGTAACCATTCCTAATAGCTTGCTGAGCTCCTCGTCGTTTCCTCACGGCCAGCTGAATGTGTCTCGGGACAATGCGAGTCTTCTTGTTATCCCTGGCGGCGTTCCCGGCAAGCTCCAAAACCTGAAAGAAAGTAGGCCAAAAGGTTAAGTACTATAATCACTCAAGCGCAATGAGAGAAAACGCAAAATTAACTGGTGACGGCTTACGCACCTCAGCAGCTAGGTATTCGAGGACTGCAGCAAGGTACACTGGAGCACCGGCACCACCCGAGTGGCATACTTTCCAGCCTTGAGGAAACGGGCTATACGACCCACAGGAAATTGAAGTCCTGCCTTTGCTGATCTGCTCACTGCCTTCTTTCCAGCAGCCTTTCCTCGGCCTGACATGATTCTGGAGATGAAAGCCGCGAAGCGAGTGGTATGGTCAAGAGCTAGCGGTGAGATCGCAGAAAGTTACTAACTCAAGGGAGATGTCTTAAAAAAGCTGAATAGCGCTTGTGACGAAAACTGGTGATGAACAGCAAAGCAGGACCAATATTTATGAACAACCGATGGGGCGACGAGGAGAGAATGAGCCGAACACACGAAACTATCAACCAATCATCTCAATATTTGCGGATTGACAACAGCGCCGTCGGATTACCATAGCTTCAGAACAATCGACGGTCCGAGGTCCACGTCGCTGCCACTGTTCAACCAATCATATCAATATTTGCAGATTGACAACGTCGCCGTCGGATTACGGTGGCTTCAGAAGTATCGACGGCAGCACGAGGTCCACGCTGCTGCCACCGCTCGCGAACCTTTTTGCGAACAACCGAATTCAAACATGCAAATCAACTGTTACGATACTGGTTATCAAACTACAAGCTTCAGAAGCTTAAACAAAGTTGTGTTGTCATAGTCAAACATTGGTATTGCTAGTGAAGTTAAATTGAAGGCCTTGGCATATCTGATTCTTGTGGTCACATATACCCACGTTGTTTTTCTAGTATGGTTTTATTTGTCATAGAACCTGGTTGGACACTACTCAATATGTTTTGTGGTGGAAATCGCATGCGTAGGAGCATGGCGAGAGTACCGGTACATCAATATGGGAGTCTGTCACTCGTTTTGTCCTGGCAACAATCAACATCACTGACCACTCAAGGAAAAACTCGATTCACACCTCTCCCCTCGTTTTCCAATCCACCTTGTGGCTGATTAATCGTTGCAAGATCCTGAAGGGATGCGTTCGCCTCAGGTCTCACCACACCACAAACTGTATTTCACTGAATCGGATTAGTCAGAATCGGTTTGGAGAAGAGAGTCCTTTGCTGTATAGTCAAGCATTCTATGTATTACAGTATACGGAAGGT